TTTATTTCCATATGCAAAACTTAAAAGACATCCCTCGTATATGAAGGAGTTGCGCTTGAGAGTATTAGGGGCACTTAAGTCTCTTTCGATACTTAAGACAATTCCTCCTCAATTACGTACTCTTAGAAGATCTATATTGATGAGCCAGTCTCCTTGTTGACATTCCAACCTAATTTTTTGCTCTTCTCATCAATCTCGCTGACCTCTGTGCAGTAAATGCACGCGGTCTTCCACTTTTTGGGAGATTCAGACATGGTATGGCCTGCTCGCACTCTGCTATTGTTCGATAAATGGTTCTGCGTGAAATGTTTTCATTCTGGAATATTTCACAAATTTCCGCTTCAAACTTCAAAATAAATAAATGTCAACTGACAGTAAAGTAGGTAAGTAAACAAACTTTTGTTTCCAAAGGCAACTTATTTTGTATTTGTTAAAACTAAAGCCAATGAATTTTGAATCTGAGAATCGTTTTTTCAAAACTTTTCAGAATTAAGCAATCTAAGCAAAAATACAATATAGCGTCTGGAAGAGAAAATAATGTTGATGCTGGAGTACAAGAAACGTAACGTCGTACTGAAATTCTAATAAAGCCATCTTGTAGAGGAGAAAAAATGGCAATTGATATGTAATTCATTTTGAAACCCCACTGCAAATAAAGTCAATAAGAAATCAATACTATGTTGGGAAAATTCGTTTTTTCCGTCTCTCTTCGGAAGTACTTTGAATTTCGAAACATTTTAAGAGGAATTTTATTGGTTACCTAAATGCGCAACTTTGCCTTCATTTAAGCGACTACGGACCTCTTGCCGTTTCCGAGATCCCAATAGTGATGTTCGAATTTGAAACTCCCGCTATAAACGCTGCTAATTGGCTGGAAAGAGCATGGGGGCCGTTCAAGTATTACGTGAGCACTAGGGGGAGGCGGGGGGGTCTTTGCTTTGCTTATTTTGGATGACATGGGGGTAGGGGAGTCTAGATGATGATTACGTCATCGGTAGTTATTTATTTTTTTATACGAATGGCAACACTCACATTGTCTTTGCTTGAAAACGAAACGCATTTTCGGGGATTCCCGCAAATAATGCATACGTTTAGTGAACAGCGCGCGGTAATTCCCCTACTCGCTTTAGAACCGAGTAGGGGAATTACCGCGCGGTGTTCACTTGTCTAAATTTCCTCTATCAGTGTATTGTTTCGTTTGAATACTATAGCGAGTAGACGTATTGTAAGCATAGTAAAGCATGTTAACATTTGTGTTACCATTGATTCCATTAGCCAAAGTTGAATGTTTAAATAAGATATCGTTTCACATAGAGAAATCCAAGTTACACCAAGTTTAATGTTTAAATAAGATGTCGTTTCACATAGACAAATCCAAGTTACACCAAAAATTGTTTGAAAGTTTTAAAAAATCTCATACAAGTACGAAAGTACAAAATGTACAAAAGTTAGTTAACGAAGTGTGGCGAAATTACAAATTACAAGCAAAATCCGACAAGGAACTAGATATTATTGTATCTAAGCGAATCGAAGAAGAATTGCAAGCGGCGACTAAGAATAAATCCAATCTACTAATTTTTTTTTCTAAGGTGAGTGACGAAATCATTTTAGGTACCTATGAGTACTAGAAATATTACAAATCGCCAAAAAGTTTCTCTTTACTGATTAGAAAATATTATGGCCTATCTCAAAGTATAGAGGTAATATTCATTATATTATAGATTTATTTCTTATGATTGATTCCGTCAATTGGTCACAAAGTACAAGATGTTAGTTTTATACATATATACAGAAAACACCCTGTATTTTGTGACCGGAACGAATTGCTCGTTTAAACATATTAGATTTAAAGCCATAGGGTTTTGTATTTACCATATATATTGCCATACTTTGTATTTATGTAGCTTAATAAGAGAATCTTTAGTAGAAGCCATAGAAAGTTTTTATTTTTAGGCAACCTGTAAACCTGAAGAAAAAACAAAAATTAAACAGTCAGCTTCAAATATTAAAAAAGAGGAAGAAGATAAAATAAAACCCGGTAATGAATCACAACAGCAATGCAAAATTAATGAAAATACAGATAAACAGAGAGCAAAACCTTCTAAGGAAGCTATGAAAAATAAGATTGCTCTACTCGAAAAAAATATGAATGCTTTGTATTCTGCCAGAAATACTATGCCAAGCCGTGATGAAGTTGATAAACAGTTCATTAAGTTGCGCGAGGAAATAAAAACAGCAAAACAGTCTTTAAACAGGAAGGTTCAAAACGCAGTTGTCCAGAAAAGAAAGTTAGAAGATATTTGTCAAGAAAATCCAGAAATAAAAAAAAGACTATCTCTGAGGAATTAAGTGGGAAATCCTAATCTTAAAAGCAATCAACATTCACTATTGAAAATAATCGCGGATATAGCTTTATTTGGGAGTGCAGCAGATAATAGAAGACGAACGGAATCAATTCGCAGCGTAAAATCTCTTGATGAACTCACACAAGAATTACGTAGAATAGGATTTGACATTAGTCGCAGTGGGACATATCTTTGTTTGATTCCCATAAAATCTAATTCTGCAGAGGGACGAAGACATGTATCGACAGTCTCTGTTAAGCTCATTCGGGCTCAAACTGATCACCACAACTGCCACTTAGATAGCAAGTTCGCTGAAACATCAATCCATTATTTAGAGAACATAGCATCCATACTTGGACCAGATCAAGTATTTTTCATATCTCAAGATTATAAAGCTCGAGTCCCTATTGGCGTAACTGCGGCAAATAAGCAAGCACCTCTTCTAATGCACATGGAATATAGAATCAAATTGTCTGATCACGATTGGGTAATCGCTGAGCGTCATAAATTAATACCATCTGTTTATGCTGGTATCAAAATCACTTCCAATATGCTAGGACAACCCCAAGCTGTTGGATATTCTGGACCAACATACATCGCTATTCGAAGTGAAAAGCATAGTTCATCTACTGCTAATACTCATGCTCAGGATTTCGAGACGCTTCTCGTACTTGAAGAGTTTCGATCATTAGCTAAAACTGACCATGGACTTGTAAAACCAGTGGTAATCATAACGGTTGATGGAGGGCCAGATGAAAATCCACGTTATCAAAAAGTCATAGGGTTTGCTATACAATACTTTAAGCGACATGATCTCGATGCATTGATTTTAGCTACCAATGCTCCTGGAAGAAGTGCGTATAACAGACTAGAGCGCAGAATGGCTCCTCTTAGTCGGGAACTGGCTGGGTTAATATTGCCTCATGCCCATTTTGGGTCTCATTTGGATGAACGTAGCGTTACAATTGATGAACATTTAGAAATATCTAATTTCGAATTTGCAGGAAATGTATTAGCTGAAGTATGGAGTTCAATGGAAATTGATGGCTATAATGTTAATGCAAAATATGTTGGGGCAGGTGAACAAGATCTTCCTGATTTTCCAGACATTAAATGGTATTCAGAACTTGTGCGTGAGAGCCAATACTTGCTTCAAATTGTAAAATGTAGTAATACAGAATGCTGTCGTCCAAGAAGTGGCCTATGTAGATTACTAGACAAAGGGGTTTCTTCCACCACCTGTAAAAGTAAAACAAACAGTTGATGACTTGGTTTTGGATGAAGGAGGGCAATTTCTTAATCTTCCAGTCGTTTTAGCTCTACGCTTAAGTGCTTCACTCAAAGATTTACTGCAAATGCCCTACGATTATCTTTGTCCGACGGTAAAATTGAGGCTATCAAGTCGAACATGCAAAACGTGTGGTCTTTATCATGCTTCCATCAAGTTACTAAATCGTCACATCGAAAATATCCATAAAAAAGTAAACACGCACACTGATAGGAAAGTTAGACCTGTAAGAGTCGCTGCTCGTCGTGCTAATGAACTGATGTACATTAGTCAAAATTTAGAGCACCTTGATGTTGAATGGCTCGATGAGAACGACTTAGACATTCCAAAATCCGATGAAAGCGAGCAAACTCACAACACTGAGCAGCAATCGAAGCAATCCAATGTCATCGAAAACTTAGAATCATGGATTCGGGTTTCCTGGACTGAAGACTGTTAATTTGAATTTAATATATGTACCAAAAATTTAAAATAAGTTTGTTATGTTAGTAAGATATAATATTTTTGTCCTTTACTCTATGTTGAATACCGTATCAGTAAAATATAATCTCTATCCTAAATCTATTTTCTTATTTTTCAAATTATAATTATAACGTTATAATTATAATATCAAAAAAAAACAATACATTAATTGATAAATGTTTAAGTAAGCATGGGGGAGGGGGTAAGAGCTTTGCTTACTTTTGCTGACAAGGGGGATGGGGGGGTAAATAATTGTAATAAATCTGCTTACGTAATACGTGAACGGCCCCATGAGAACTTGGGAAAAAAATTGATTCCAAACCATTTATTTAGAATACAATAACGTCACTTCCACTTTATACCAAAGCTGTAAACATGTATCCCTCAAGATGGGATTAGATGAATCCCAGCAAAGATTGAAGAAAGCAAATTTTCCAGTCGATATAGAGTTGAGTGCACAATTCCCACAACAGTCATGAAAATCCGCATTCTATAAAAAGAACTAATTTTCAACATAAATTTTATTAAATGTTTGGGCTGGCGTGGTAAACATTAATTACCATGCAGATTCACACCCTTAAATATTCGCATAGCATTAAGGAACACCCTGTAACTGTGGTTTTTGGTATACCAACTTCTTTTGCCGAGTTCTAGCTGTTAAAATAAATGAGTCAACTTTGAAAACACCCTGTACGTTTGCACAGTCGAGGTAATACTATATTATTATCTACGTACTAAGAGGTATGAAAAGTTGAGTCGTATAACCCAAGCCTTATTTTCTTCTTTCTCAAACTTTATCTCACGCCACTTACATAACTTCACCTTGAAATATGAAATAACATCCAAAAAGTTGCATTTAAACATCGATAAGACGTGCTAATTTTGATACAATTAGGACACAAAGTGATAAAACGTTGCATATAAAAACTGCCAAGTGCCAAGCAAATTTATCATTCACTGGTCTGCTTCCTGCTTGCTCTGTCAGTCCTACTGAAATTCATTCTTCAGCATGAAGGTCCTCATCCTGTTGGCTCTGGTGGCATGTGCCGCAGCTGTGCCTATTTACGGAGGTGTTAGCACTGGAGTCTATGAGTAAGTATCCAGCAAACTTAAGAGAAATTATTGTTTCTATGGAAACATTCTAACTTTTTCCTGTAAGGGGACCATTTTATAAATTTTTCACACATCATTTTCGATAGTTTCATAGTCATATTTAAATTTAATCGTATCTAGTTCTAGTACCCTTTCATTGCTGGGTTTCTTTTAAAATAATTGTCAACAGATTAACTTCTTTTTTGACTTAATAAATATGAAAATTGTTCATTTAAACATATGTCCGTCAATGTTTCATTGGATATTAAAAAAATAATTGTTGACTGACGAACATCGAAAAACTCTAATGGACACTTTTTTAAACGGAGTCAAGTTACGACAATTATTTTTGGATGAAACAGTGACGTACATTTTTTCGCTAAACATAAAGTTTTAAATATCATTGGCCTTTTCAAAAAATAAAAAACAAAGAGGCTATCCCTAGGCTTCTTTTTTGTATGATGTTTCAGTCCCTGATCGGCATTTTCAATATCAGTTTAAAATTTTATGGGGAGTTAAAAATATCAATAAATTTTAACAATTGCTTTTGAACGTTACTTTATTTTTTGATCATTTAACGGCTTAGTTAAAAAGATTCTGTAGGCAAAAATAACTTCATTACAGATTAATGTCATTTGAAAGTTACATAGAAGAGCCATAGACTCAGAAGAAGTTGTCATAGCAGTATTTTTGGATTTGAAGAGGGCATTTGAAACGATTGATAGAGATATTTTGTTAGGTAAATTGAAGGCATATGGTATAACAGGAAGTGTTTTAGATTGGTTTAGAAATTACTTGTCTAAAAGGATGCAAGTTACAAAAGTTAATGACACTATTTCATCAAAAATTGAAAATACGTTGGGTGTTTCACAGGGCAGTATCCTGGGACCACTTCTTTTTATTTTATACATAAATGATTTACCTGCCATAGTCAAAAAATGCAAAATTCAGATTTTCGCCGATGACACTATGATTTATATAAGTACTAAAAATATTCAGTCTGGTATCTCTTATATAAATGAAGACTTGAAGCTTGTCTCAAAATGGTTAGCATCTAACAGACTAAAATTAAATGCAAGTAAAACGAAAGCCTTGTTAATCGGAAAAAAACAATGTACAAATGTTCAACTGAATATTGATGGTGAAGATATTGAATTCACAGAAAATTTAAAATACGTGGGGGTTTTTGTTGACTCTCGATTAATTTTTGATATTCATTATGAAAAAGTTATAATTAAGATTAGTAGTAAAGTGGGATATTTATCGAGAGTTTCTGGATGTCTGAGTTCATATAGCACAAAAATTATCTATAATACCGTCATTCTTCCAAATTTCTTGTACTGTTCGACTATTCTATATTTAGCAAATAATTCCATTTTTGAAAGACTGCAAATTTTACAAAATAAGTGCATGAGAATAATACTAAATAAAGATAAATATACTCCAATTAGGCAAATGCTTAGCAAATTAAAAAAGGTTAATGTAAAATTTTTTATCAAATAACTTGTAATGATATTCATTTATAAAGCAAAAAATAATATATTTCCATCAAGTCTTACTAATTTAACATCATCAAATGTCGACCATCATTTACATAATACCAGAAATAAAGATGACTTCCATTTAATAACCAAAAAGTATAACATATGCTACAAATCTGTATTCCATCAAGGGTTGATTGAATATAATAAATTATACTCGGAGATAAAAGACCAGAAAACTTTGACAAAATTTAAAGTAAAATTGAGAAATCACTTGTTAAATCTACAATTATAGGTTGCCCAGCATTTACATCATACACCATATGGCTTGAATTTACTAGTTCTAAGTTGTTTACAATTATTCTGTTTATGTAGCCAAATGTGCTAAATAAATCTTTCTACTACTACTACTATAATGGCAATTGAAACTTCTTCTAAGTTAATATGGAGCCACCCTCGGCGCCATAACACAGTTCTGAACATTTGTGTATACTCTAAGACTACGATTTTTTTCTAATCTTTGTTTGATGATTCCAGAGACGACGTCGACTACCTGAAGTCTGGCATTCATGGAGAAGTAAGTGGGTACCACAGCTACCCATGGTATCATTGGTTGCACCGTGGATTGGAAGGTATCTATGACAGCGATGTATGGCATTCCGGAATCTACGGAAGCCATCATTACGGATACGGATACCCCACCTCCCACTGGGCATCTTACTGGGGAGGAATCTACCCAAGGTAAACACTCCCTAATCAAAAACATATCATTTTTTGCTGCAGTAGATAACAAAGTACTAAAATGGAAGAGAATAGAATAGCTCATCGCATGTCACAGCTAACGCCTTTATGAGCCGAAAGGGATCGAGAAGGTTAAAAACGACCCGAAACTACTTTCTTAGTAGGTACAGAGTGGCCGGCTATAAATGGACGCCATTTTTGTGACGAAAACAAGACGTCCTTTAAAAGGGTGTCATTTTGGCGTCCTTTTAAGACAGTCAGTACTGAAAAATCAACACAGAAAATATAGGTTTACAACTTTATTCGATAGCACTTTTCTGACACCCCTTGTATGCAAAAAAATATTACATATGCTAATTTATAGCCATATGAATATGTTAGCTGAAAATTGTCAGATATTAACAATAAATACAGTTTCTACACATACTTATGTTTGGATTACAGGGCTGGTTTGATCAGAGACGCTTACACTGGAGGCTATGGATTGTACGGCAAGGGAGTCTACAACTACGGACCGTACACCCACCACTACGGAGCTTACACCCACAACTACGGACCCTACAACCACCACTACGGATACTACGGTTAGTATTTCTTTCTTTGATATTCTGTTTGTTTTGTACAGTACAATATTCTATATCAAAGCGAATATTAGTGATAACGACTTTTGATTTCTCGACGAATGTCTTTTCTTCTATTGTTTCATAAATGCAATTGCAGTAGAACTTTTATATGCTTTTACTCTACTTAATGATAGTAATGTACGATATTACAAATGATCAAGCACACTCTAATCAGTGACAACATATTTCCAAATTTTTAAGATCTGTATCAAGTTTAGAATTCCCCCCAGTTTGTTCTTAAACGAAATTGAAAGAGCAAAGGGTTTCTGAATAAGTCAAATTTAAAACATGATTTTTTTCCAGGATACCCCTACGGCGGCTGGCACGGAGCTAGCCCCTCATGGCACAAATATTACTAAGTAATGATATTTTTTTAATATTGTTATTGTTGTCTTATTTAATAAACCTCATCAAAAATATACTCTTTGTATTATTTATACATATATTCCTGCGACAAATTCAGATAATATTTCTCAAATTCTCTATTAATAGACCATAAAGCATAATGTAGATAGTGGTCAAAAACAGTAGCAATCGTTCTGTTCTGTTATGAATTACATATATTCTGTTTATTTCCAAATCTAGAGCCACATGAACTATAATAAAAAAGGTCGAGCAAAGCATGTCAGATATGGAGTCGACTTACTTAACACATATTTGTAACAAATTAGCTAAAAATTGTTTATCTAACGTGGAGAAACCTGATGTAGTAATAGCTGCTAAAACGACGATTGATCGAAACGGACAAATTTTGCTTTCTGTCTCTCTGTAACCACAACCAACTGCATATCGCGCTGTTTCGTGCTCATTAGCGACTCACTAGTGCTGTACTTGCATTGGAAATAGCATTTCCATGAGAAATGACTCTAATGCGGTCCTGTTTATTTTAGTTTTCCATTAGGCCAACAGGGACGCATGCTCAGTGCGCAGCTCACGCAATTTCAGGGATGCCATATTACAGGATTTTCCCCCAATTTGGGAGATTTTTACGTCAAATGGGGAATTTTTTGAAGATCTATTTTTTTAGGAAAAGAGAATCGCTAGGTATTTTTGGGGTATTTTATTCCGTCTTTTACTACGAAAAACTGTCAACTCATAAACAATTTTATCTTTTTCTAGCTTTTTCCCTCCCCATGCCGCAACCATCTCCACAACACGAGTATAGTGTCCCGCTCCGCTTTGAATATTCGAAACACTATACTCCAGCAGCATTCAGCTTCAATGTTATCTTTATGAAGTTCTAACGTCTAGGCCAAGCTGATTAAAAGCTTGAATGAATCAACACTTAACTCTAAATTCCCCACAATTCGGGAAGCTCTACTCAAATTGGCAACACAGCGTATCTGCCTATTATTCTCATTCGTGATACAGGTCTGTGGTTAACGGTAGGAAATATGTACGAATAGCGATGAAAGTAGACGAGCCGATGCGCTGTTGCCAAGAAATGATTTCCCATGTATAACAATGGTTTTTCCTAAGGTGTATACGCTGACCCTCTCTACACCTTTATGTCAATTGTAGGTTGGTAGATATGCATCCATTGTCAAAGAACAGTGAAATAGAATAATTTGAGCTGGCCGGTTGTTTTAGCTATGTTTGACAGGCGTGTTTCGTCTTCTCTGCGATTTTGCATAAATTTGCTTGTCCCAAATGGCGAAGTGATCGCGTGATATTTCTTATGAAATCGATGGAGTCCTTGACATACGACTGGCTGTGACCGATTTGACGCTGGAGCGTATTCGTTGGATGTTTCACTAGTTCATAAGTAGGTGACCCGATCGCACTAATAATAGGTCTAAGGCGGACAGATGGTTTGTGAATTTTTACTAGACCGTACAATCTGGGTGGAAGGGCTTCTGATTTACAAATCGATTTTTTCACCTCAGGGGGTAACGACGACTGTTTGATAAGTAACTGGTTTTTCTCAGGAATTTCCGCGTTGGGTCATTGCGGATGGTTTTATAAGTGTCAGGGTCCAGTAGTTCTATTTTTGTCTGATAGTCTACTTTGTTCAGGATTATGGTGGCGTTTCCCTTGTGAGCCGGTAGAATCACTATTTCGTTATCGTCCTTAAGCTTCCTAAGGGCTAGTCGTTGCGATCGCTGCAAGTTGTTCTACAGCGGATGTGTCTTACGAAGTAATCGGGCTGTTTCGCATCGTATTTCCTCACTTATTTCAGCAGGAAGTTTTTGTATGCCAACTTTTACATTGGAAACGAGCTCTTCTGTTGGAATTCTGGTAGGGACACCGCCCCCAATCGTCCCAGTTGTTGGCTACGGTATGTGGATGATACCTTCGTGGTATGGAGCCACGGAAGGACAGAACTAGCAGTGTTTCTAAATCACCTAAACAGCATTTACCCAAAATAAAATTCGCAATGGAGATAGAAGACGACATTCAACTGGCCTTCCTAGACGTGTTGGTGGTCAGACGAGAGAACTTAAAGCTGGGTCACAGAGTTTACCGCAAAACAACAAACACTGACAGACACAAGGACTCCAACCTTCAACCTGGACAAAAAAGAGATGTCATTAAAAATCTGATAGACAGGGCACATCGAATTTTTGAACAAAAATAGCTGCAGAGGGAACTGGATCATGTTAAGATGGTTTTATAAGCAAACGGCTATCGCAGGGAACAAATAGAACAGGTTTCACGACAAAAAAAGCAGACCGCCGGCAGGAGACTCGGAACCACCTGCGGGAGTCTCCTTCCTACCATACATTAAAGGCATCGCGGATAGAATAGGAAGGTTGCTGCAGAAACACAACGTGAAGACCGACAAATAAAATCCAGCAACTCCTAACATCGGTAAAGGTCACTAGGGTCCCCCTGAGCGATGCCGGCGTATACAGAATACCGTGTTCCAGTCGTAAAGTATACGTAGGCACCACTAAACGTAGCTTCCAAACACGCATCAAGGAGCATGAAAGACACTGTCGACTGGGACAAACTGATAAATCAGCGGTGGCCGAACGCGCACTTCAAGACGGCCACAATGTTCTGTTCGACCAAACTGAAGTCCTATCAACATCCAACTACTCAGCTCCAGACAGCTCAGTACTCAGTCCGCCGATCGCCTATAAAACCTCACGCGCATCCAGTTTACCGATCAGTTTCAGTCAATGTATACGTTTTGTGGTTTCAGTTGACCCGCCAAGCCGAGCACCTCGGTCTCGCCGAAAGTGCCACTGAATCAAACCCGATCACGGCTCAATAGCCCGAAAAACCTAAATGACGTTAGAATTAGCCGTAAAAGCCTTCATTTTTCATATTAGCTATTATTTTATAAGTTTGCTCTTCAGCCTGATTCTATCTCTCTCGTACACATTGAACTTAAGACGTCAGACAAATTTCATTTTCCCTGCATCTTCAAGGAAAACCTGTGCACCCATGTTGTGTCCGCGCACGCAATATGAAAATATGCTTTTTTCATTTTCCTACCGATTTTGTCCTTGAATCTACGCAACAACACTATCTATCGATTTCGTGTTTTCGATTCGGCAACACTGGTCTCAGATGCTGGTTTAAACTTGTAGTTTTAACTGACAAATGACAGTGACAGTTTACCGTCGTCTGTGGTCTGTGCCAAAACAAAACTAACCTATAAATAAGAAATAGAGAATATTCAAGAATGCTGGAATTCTGTGCTAGAAATGCAATGAAATCAGACTTTTAAAGTTCCCAAAGTGACACGAAAAAATGTTAATGCGTATCAGTTTTTTTCTCCTTGGGTCATGACACACTCCAGGCTCAAAGGCACCTATTGTACATACACAACTTTTTCGATATTACTAATTTCTGTGATGTTTATTGTAACTGTATTTTTAAGTTTTATAGTATTAAATCATGGTAAGTGGATACATTGTATTAACAATGTTATCAATATTTATTCTTATCCCTTTTCAGACCAATGCCAGAGCCAGTCAATAGCGGCAAAGCCAACAGTGTTATTAGGAAGAAATCCTAAGTTTGCACAGTCAAGACACCACCTGGCAGTATTGGTACCTTATAGAGATCGTTTTGAAGAACTAATGGAATTTGTGCCATACATGTTTCGATACCTTTCGAATCAAAATATAGATCACAACATATTTATTTTGAACCAAATAGACAAATATAGATTTAATAGAGCATCCTTGTTGAATGCAGGATTCCAGCTTACTAAAAGCAACCATGATTATATTGCCATGCATGATGTAGATCTGCTTCCAATGAATACAAATCTTTCATATGCTTATCCAGAGACTCCGGTCCATTTAGCTGGCCCATCTTTTCATCCGAGGTACCATTATGAGAAATTTATTGGGGGAATACTACTCATCAACAGGTAAAGCAATATACCATTTTATTTTTGTTGTTTAAGATTTATTTACAGTATATTCAGATAAGAGATAGACCGGACATAAACAAGACCACGTGATCATCGAACGCTGTAACATTCGGCAGGGACGTATTAAGAGTCACGCAGTACATATTTTAGATAGTAGATGCTGCTTTGCGTAACTTTGTAGTAAATTAGCACAATTCGATGTGTATACGATTGGTGATGGATACAGGATCATGTGGGGGTGGGGTAAGAAATATATAATGATGTAAATATACATAAGGGTTTCAAAATTTTCGCTTTGATTTCCAGCTTTGGATGCCGCCTGATGTTTGGTGAAATACAGTCGAATATAATCTCAAAATTGCTTTTAGAATATTGATTAGTATATTTTTTGATTTCTAGGTAAATATGTAACCAAATTAAAACGTTCAAAAAGTAAAAAAATGTGCATGGTTGAACATTGTCAGAAAGTAGATTCTTGAATAGGTTTTGCCAAAATGGGTTCAAAAATGTCAATAATTAATTAAAAAATACAGCAGCTTTATAATTACTTATAACTTACCGAATTTGATGAACGACATCTTTTATTGGAAAGATGAGCTTGATGAGCTTTCATCATCGCTACTGCCTGAAGCACCAACGTCAATAATGAATGGCTCGACTTGTTCCTCTAAAATATTGTCCAGTTCCCACATTCTCTTTTCAACTTTGTCTTTCACGTGCTTAATACAGTTTTCCCATTTTTGCGCTGTTATTAATTCTAGTGCTTCTTTGAAAAGTCCTTTGAGGTCACAAAATTTAAAAGTTGTATTGTGCTTAGCTATATAATTTTTAACCTCTGCCCATATGAGCTCAATGGGATTGAGCTCGCAATGGTATGGAGGTAAACGGAGCACAGTTTTATTTTGACTTGCTGCCATTTCGTCAATGGCGTATTTTTGATATTCCGCCTTGTGATCCTTGACAATTCTTAATAATTGTACTTTCAGCATTGCTTCTTCAAAGTTGATATTTTTCGAGCGGAGCCAATTTGGAACATCAACTTTCCTTGAAGCCGTTGTTGGGACCTTCTCCATTCTTCGAGAATGATAAGGCGCATTATCCAACACAATTACTGCGTTTTCCTCTAAGTTCGGTAAAATTTTTGAAAACCACTGTTCAAACGATTCGCCATTCATTTCCTCGTGGTAATCTCCAGTTTTCTTAGACTCAAAGCACCACAGACCGTCAACAACAAATCCTTTTCCCTTTACCTGGAAATCAAGTACTAACTGGTGTAGATTTATTTCAATAAGCTAACCTTTTTCAAATGTTTTCATCACATTCAGCGAAAAAACATTGAGACATGAGTATCAGATTGCTATAATTGGGATTATTTAGTCGTATTGAAAGAAATAATATTGAACGTCGTATGATTACTCAGCGCTTCACAATTTAATTTAAAGTTATAAACCTTTAAAAAATGAATGATCAGGAACCTGAAATACGCACAAATATTAATATTAACAAATTATAACTTTATAAAGCTTAAAGTATGAATTAAAATGATTAGAAATATTAGGAACGGTACACAATATAAAACTTAGTAACTTTTTTTAAGTTTATAATATTCGACATATTTTAAGATTATATTAAAAAATTATTGAAATATCGAAAACACATAAAAACATGGCTTAAAAAAGTTCTAACAAATGAAAATGACAATAAAACATCCACGCATTTTATCGAAAGTTATAAAAGTTTTGTTACTTGTAATATGTTTTATCTGGCCCCCTGGAATTAATGTTTAGAACCTTGTTCCCAAGGTTTGAAAAACATCCGATTGTTGTCTATTACTCGTATTTACCTGCTGGATTTTTTAATCCGGTGGACATTCCATCTAGAAAGGCCCTCCTGGATGAAGTTACAGAATCATCAACCCATACTTTACTTGTAGTGTGTCCTGCGTTTACCCACGTTTCATCAAGGTAATAAATCTTCCTGTTTTGATTTCTATATTTCCCAATTTTTGTTAAATAATCCCTCCTCCATAGCACAATTTCTTCTCTATCCAGTAGTAAACTATTACGACCCCGTTTTTTCCATTTGAAATTTAAATGCTTCAGTAACGCATGGAAAGTTGATCGTTTGAAATTTGGCAACGTTGTATCTCCATTTACCTCCTGCAGTACTTTATCTATAGTAGGTATTTCATTCCTAAAGAAGAATTCATGCACTTTCCTCCTAATCGCATGCTTATCAGCTTCATCCAATGATTTAACAATACTTTTGCGATGTTTACTGGTCATTGGCTCAGAAAAGGTGTGATTTTTTTTGTATTGTCTTAACACATTAAACACTGATGCGCGACACACCCCAACTTTGTGAGAAACCTTCACAACAATTTCTTTGATGGTTGATGCCTCGTTCTCCTCGCGCTCGATCTTATATATATTCAAAATGACCTCTTTCATTTCTGCACTCAGGTGTCTTTTTTTAGAGCGTTTCCTAGGTGGACTACAGGAGTTTACAACTTCATCGGCAGTATCTGTACTACTGGGCATTTTGCGCAAGCAGTTGATAACAATAACAATCAATAACAAGGTATAACAATAACAACGACAAACTCAACAACTTAATAAGATAACAAATGAAAACGTCCAAAGAAATATCAAATTGCAATGATGCACACGACATACGTAACACGTCTGAACCTGAATGTGACTCTGCCTTGATGCTCTGCCGCTCGGCATAGGCATTTAATTGCGAATTGACCAATGAGGGCTCCTGTTTTACGTCGAGACGGCGGCGTTAGCGTGAAAATCACCCGAACCTTTTGTTTACATCCGGTCTATCTCTTATCTGAATATACTGTAGTATGATTGCTACAATTACATTCATCTGAAAAACTAAACAATTACATAACATACAGACATTCAGAAAAAAAAACAAACTTTGCATCTCTAAGAATTTTCATTGTCCATGAAATATTCCTTTAATTTTCTTTTAAATATCTTTAAATTACAAGTAGACTTTATATCATTATTTAGTTTATTAAATTTAAGTAATCCTTTCTGAAATATTGATTTGCTAGTTATATTACTATTGTAATTTTGTAAATGAAAATCTATATTTCCTCTTGTATGAATGAATGAATCTTGAAATTAGAGCTATTCCGGCCACCATAAGGAGCCAGTGCATAGGCCGCTTAAGCGGGCCCTTATGCACCTCTAGATTAGCTCGCTCAGAGCTTCGCAGCGTTCACACAAAGGATCCTCAGCCACCCCCATCACGTTAGGTTGGCTCTATCCAGAGGCAGAAACGTCCATCCTTAGCACTGGACCCTTCAATGAGTTCCCGTGCCTGGCGGAGATGTCTGGAAATACTTCTCCATTTCTGAGAGTGTTGTCTTGCAATCCACGTCTCCATTTTCCTCATAGCTCTATGCGCGGTCACTCCTTAGAGCTGGCTCAGGACCAACGAGCTTGCTGGCTGATCCTGTGTTCGCCAGAGTGTGCCGTCTCATTGCCCCTTATCCCAGCGTGCTCCGGTAGCCATATTAACGATACCGGATACCTTGCTGCGAGGCAATGCAGAGCCTCCCTGCATTGCAATACACAAGACTTAGGCACTTTGTCCTTTCATTGCAGCCTGGCTGTCGGATAAGATTGTTATTCTTCTCCTAGGCCCACCCTCCTCCAGAATGTGAGATACACAAGCCAGAATCGCAAAGATTTCCGCCTGGAAAATAGTGGTGTGTACACCGACAGGCAGAGATAGCTTAGTTCTAGGCCCAGAGAGCCCTCTTCGGTGACCGCGCCGTCCGTGTACCAGACCTGCCCACTCACCCCGGAGAGTCTCCGGCTACCGGCTACTTGCGGTTGAAGCGATATTTAGGGGTAATACGATCACCCCTGCTTAGAAGGACGGGGTCCTCCCTTTGCAATTCGACTAAGATGGCAGTATGCCGCTTGACAGGATTCAAGAAAGCCCAGCTGCCCTGACTCCACAGTCGATGAGCGACTACTCTCGCTTCACCACGGATCACCAGATCCAACGGTGGGAGATCTAACAGAGCTTCCATTGCACTCAGTGGCGTTGTTCGCAATGCGCTTGTAATACTAATACAGGCCAAACGCTGAATTGAAATGAAATGTTTACAAGTTTCTCAACGGCATGGAAATATGCCCCAAAGAACGCAACTTGTTCTTAATTTAATCTAAGCTGTATATCAGAGCATTGTTCCTAAACGAACCTTTTTGCTTCTAGGGAACATTTTCAATTGGTGGATGGACTATCTAACAGATATTGGGGCTGGGGACTTGAAGATGATGAGTTCTATGTACGACTGAAAGATGCCCACTTGAATGTGACAAGACCCCAAAATATAGCAACAGGAACTAGTGATACATTTAGGTGAATAGTAATAGACGCTTTACACAATCTAAGAAATTGAACCATTTTTTAACTGTGAAGAAATTGAAGTCTATACACGTGAAAATGGTCAATATCTTCACGACATTGAATTCGTGAATAAATTGCCAAATTAGATCTTCCAATTTTGCCTCAATTTTTTTGGGAAATTTAGTTACTTTTGGTTGTTTTCCCTAGGTCACAAAGTATTATACTGAGGAGACACTCTGTCAAAAATCAGGTTTTATCAACGCCAACTTGAAGCCTACGCGTTTGGTGGGGTTCATGTTGCTGTGACGTTTAGGATTTAGAAGTTATCAAAAACATTCAGTTTTATCAATACTATTTACATATATAAATAGCTTTCCGAGAAATAATAATAATATGTTATGGGAAAATGAACACAAATAAATTTCTTGATTATGTTGTTTGACATATGACATCCGTGACGTCTTGCTATAATGCGTAACAACCTATAGGAAAAAAATCCTTCAGACGCTAATGAACATAAGCGGTAAATGTGGTAAGCAGTTGGGGACACGAAGATCAAAGGGACCGACAGCAGGTGTCGCATCTGTACAGGGTGTAAACGTTATGACAGTCATTATTTAAATGGGTTAAGAGGCAGTTAAAAGAAGCAAAAAGTTTCATATAACATGAGGGTCAAAACGGCGTTTTTTTTAGAGAAAAGCGACATTAAAGTAAAATAAAATCTGACAACGCCGCAATGCCAGACGCAGATTACGACAGAACGCAGTGTAAATAAAGATGGACTTTGTTAATTTTGACTCTTAGGTATTATATCATTATTTGATAATGTACTCGTAAAGTGCAAACAATTAAAAAAGGCGGACTTACCACTAACTGACTCAGTGCTTCACCTGGTGTGTGAAAGTTTATTGAATCTATGTATTAAAAAAATTCACTTATAAATATGGAACACAATTTTCATACATACATTGTTTTTTTTAAACCCAAACTGCACTTTTTTTGTATTTAAAGAAGGTGTTCAAAATGTCATCCTCCACTTTCCACACAATCTCCATTACGACGAACCTAGCTTCTTCTTACTCTATGTAAGTTGTGCTTCAGTTGTTATTGGACCAGCCCCATAAACCATCCGTTTAAGTTCTCCGCAATACCAGAAATCCATCGGATTGAGGTCAGGAGATCTTGCTGGCCATTTTCGAGGATCAGGAGCATTTCGATCGATCCAGCGATTTGGATAATGTCCATTCAAATACTGAATGACGCCTCTAAAAATGTGTTGTGGTACCCCGTCATGAAGAAACCACAACTTTTGTCGCCGTTGTACTGGAATGTTGTCTAAGGTCTGTTCCAAAAGTTCTAGTAGGTTATTGGCTAGAAAGCTAAGGTATCCTTCTCGTGACAACTTTGACGGTAACTCGAAAGGGCCAATTACCTGATCGTCAAGAATACCCGCCCAAATATTTATTTTAAAACGTTGTTGGAAATGACCTTCACGAATAGTATGAGGATTTTCTGGGCACACGTGTGAGTATTATGGAAATTATTATCCCGTCTCGCTTAAAAGTACATTCGTCCGTCGCTAGAATGTTTTTAAATAAATCCGGATGTTCAATGTTTTTGTGCAAAAACCACTGACAGAATGTTAGTCTGCGAGGATAGTTTTCAGGTAACAAGGCCTGCACTCGTTGTACATGGTAGGGATAAAGCAAATTTTTACGTAGGATTCTATGAACTATGGTATGCGATAGTCCTACGCGGCGGCCTAATTCCTCTACAGTAACCTGTCTTTCACGAGTGCGAATATTAGTGGGCTGAACACTTCCTGTATCTCGAAGTCTTTGGTACACTTGCACAAATGTCCTTCTGTCCGGGTGTACCCGTTGGCGAAATCTGTCGCGATAAATTTGAGCTGCAAGATTTGAATTCTGACGAGCTTCACCGTAAACTAACAACATGTCGGCCAACTCTTGATTCGAGAACATTGTAAATAAAGACGACGACGTACGCGAACAAAAACAAAACAACAGGCCCGATGCCTTGCTCGAACAAAACGATAAAGTAATTTATCTATGCAAAACGATAACTAACCAGTTACCGTTTGCGATCGATTTTCGGTTCGATAAGAGTGATGAAAAGCCGACGCGCTGTTGTCATGTGTGTTTTAAATATTTATAATCTGTGCCTAGATATGAACCTTCACTGTTTGACGCGTTTGCGTGTTGTGATTGAGGTTACAATCATTATAATTTGGCTTGGCGCTTAGGTTTGGGTGCGATATTTCATACATTTTGTTCCTTATCGATAGGATTTAATATTGCAAGCAATATTGTCATTTTCACGAGTAACCATGAAGGTAGAATAACAGCTGGTTATCTACTAATATTTCTAAATTCCCCATATCGGCAAAAGACGCAGAATTCTGACGGATCCGTCAACGCCAGGTAGACAGAGCCATTTTATTAATAACTCTTATTTAGATGATTTTATTATTTATTTGCATACAAAATAAAATGCTATCCGTAAGTTTTACTAGATTTGCAGTCCATTCATTGTTGCCAAGGTTACAAACTAATACAAAGATTGCTGATCATCTATTTACCTCGTGGTGGATACTCGTGAAATATGGTTTCTTTTGCATTTTTATTTTATACACTATACATAGTGCTCCATATTTGTCTGGCCAATAAAACCAATATACAGGGTGTTTCAGTTTATTGTTGCATAACTTTAAGATTCGATAGAACTTTTAAAATTAATGCATAAAGTCTATATAAACATGGGTCGATAAATGCGTGGCTTCCAAAATACAGGATGTTTAAATTTACATTCTAAAATAGTTTTTTTTTTATTAAATATTTCGAACAATATTTGATGTATAACAGAGAAAATTGGTATACAAGGATTTTTTGGTACGACAAAACGAACCATGGGCATAGTTTTACTGTAGCCGCTAGAGGGCGCTCTCTACTGTACCTGTAGTGTATTAAAATGACCGAAAAAAATTTCTTAGTGCAATTTTTTGCTTTTTGAATAAAAAAACTGATTCTTCGCACTTTTCAACATAAAAAAGCTCTCTTGTGAATTTTCGTTATAGTTAGCCGTTTTTGAGATATTTCGATTTCTAAGGTTCGATCCATTTTTAATTATTTATGATAAAATAGCGTTAAAAAGTCAGTATCTCGATAATTTTTAGAAGTAGGCTGTGCCTGCAAATATTTTTTAAATTGAAAGCAGAATAAGGTTAAACGTCAATTAGTTGACAGTTAGTTTTGTTGTCTGTTGAAACCTGAAACGTTTTTTTGCAATTGTGAATGCACGAAATTTAGTTTCATTTACCTGTTTTTTTTTTGTAAGTTTTATAAAAATGCCATTTTTATTCTCCAATCAAGAGTTAGCGGCTATTCATTTTGTGTATGGCTCTGTAAATGGAAACGCAGTAGAGGCAGCCAGAGAATACGCACGAAGATTTCCAAACAGACGACATCCAACTCGCTCAGTATTTGTAAGAGTGCATCGCCAAATAATTGAAAATGGTTTTGGAAATCTCCAAAGGGATCAAAACATAAATGTTCGTCAGCGCAGATTTACCCGTATGATTCTGCGTGAATTTGATAGAGATCCGACCACAAGTGTTAGGAGAGTTTCTGGTGCCTTGGGAATTTCCGCAAGCCATGTTCACCGTGTTCTTAGACATGACCATAGACGTCCTTACCATTTGCAACCTGTGCAAGGACTACAGCTACGGGACGGAGAACGAAGAACCACATTTTGTCAGTGGATTCTTGATAGAACTGATAATAATAGGGAGTTTTTAAGTAACGTTGTATGGACCGATGAGTCATGCTTAGTGGTAAATTTTCATAATCAACATAATGCATAATGCTATACCACGTTCGATCATTCGTAGATGTGAATTGTGTATTGAACAATTGGGTTTACATTTCGAGCAACTACTTTAGATTTTGTATGTTAGTCCTAACTATCCAATAGCATTTTAGTTGTAAATAATTAATTTAATTTGTTAAAAATAATATTGGAAAATTAAACAAATTAATATTCTGTTTTTTGTGTTTATTTGGAGTTAGGAATTATTGCTGTGTTTAAAAACACAATCTAAACGATCATCTTAATTACTTGTAATTCCCAAATCGAAAATGTAAAAAAAATATAATTTTCCCATAAATAATTAAAAATGCATCGAACCTTAAAAAAAGAAATATCTCAAAAACGGCTAACTATAACGAAAACTCACAAGAGAGCTTTTTTATGTTGAAAAGTGCGAAGAATCAGTTTTTTATTCAAAAAGCAAAAAATTGCGCTAGGAAATTTTTTTCGGTCATTTTAATACACTACAGGTACAGTAGAGAGCGCCCTCTAGCGGCTACAGTAAAACTATGCCCATGGTTCATTTTGTCGTACCAAAAAATCCTTGTATACCAATTTTCACTGTTGTACATCAAATATTGTTCGAAATATTTAAAAAAAACCATTTTAGAACGTAAATTTAAACACCCTGTATTTCGGAAGCCACGCATTTTTCGACCCATGTTTACATAGACTTTATGCATTAATTTTAAAAGTTCTATCGAATCTTAAAGTTATGCAACAATAAACTGAAACACCCTGTATACTAAATCACATAGAAAACGCAACACCGACTAGGAGTGCTGTGATTTTGAGCATACTTTTTACAAGTTTTAGGTCTACTGATAAATAGAAAGTGACTAAAATTTTAACTCGAAATTTTGCAAAATAGCTGAGATATCCCACCTTAATGTTAATGTGTTGAAGCTCCCCTGTTTGCTACACATTCGTTAAGTCATCGCGGCATTGATTGGATTAGGTGATTGATGTCTTCTTGGTGTATTGTATCCCAGACCATCTGAAGTTGGTTTTTTAGAGCTTCCAATCGTAGGTGGTAGATGGTCTCTGACTGTCGAACGCGGAGGTACCACCCGGCGGTTCTCGTAGGCGGAGCCAGAATGTGTGCATGTTGCATGCACACGTGTTCCCTCGCCAGAGTCCGTGTGGCGTCCCCCCTTTCCCATGTACCCATGTATCCCCCATAGCCCCACGGTACCCAATGGGTGCTTAGGCCTTAGGCCTTCGTGGTAGTTGGAGTATAAAAAAAAAAAAAAAAAAAAAAAATCTTTGTGGTGGGTGCGGTGAATTTTTTCATGTCCTATGCGTGTTCGATGGGGAAGAGGCCTGGAGATTAAAGAGGTCACTGAAGCTGATTTTTTTCGGAAGCTTCTAAAAAGTCTAAACTAACAGGTGCGACATGACGAGACATACAAAAAAAGTACGGCTCGGAAATATGGTTACAAGTTTTTATCAAAATTCAATAAATAACTCGGGGTTGCATTTTCTATGTCACTTCGTATATTTTTTTTCGTAAATAAAACTTCATCACCCTCTATCTCGGTAGGGGAGCATCTTTGGACCCATATTTATAGGAACTTATTATTTTTGGATGTACTTTCTTCCCTAGAAATATTGACACGTCTTTCTGAAACACCCTGTATAGTTTAAAGAAAACCTCTAGCAATGTCTGAACAAATACTCTAGCGTAGATCTGTCTGAAAATTATAAAGAATGGTTTTTGAAATTATAGGATATATTTTCAACGAAGAAATTTGATATTAAGTTTTGTAAAATCAAGCATATTTACGAAAAATTTCATTAAAAATATTTGTAAACCTGTACCCTTGTGATTCTAGGCATATCCATGGCGCAGACAGAAAAAGGGACACAGTGAAATGTTACAATCAACGTGAGGTGACTAGAAGAAGAGACCGCAAAACGGGTTTGCACGACGTGAAGTTCGACGTAGAAAGCTACAAAAATATGGAGATTGAAGGTGCACCATTCACAGTTATAAACATACGTTTATATTGCAATTTTACTTCGACACCTTGGTGTGACTGTAGTCAACAAAAGACTGTTAGTAATAAAAAACCTAACAGATAATCAGTTTCTGTTATTTGCTTTAGTATCTTCTCTCAGAAATGAGGAGGAAGACAGTCAAATATACAGTTATACAGTTTCGGGACCCTTTCGCACCTGCAGGCCGTGAGCGATCTAGCTCTCTCCTACCGCTACACAAATGGACTTTGCTCCTCAGAGCTCTTCTCCATGATGCCGCCGCGCGATGTGCCTGCCAGGCACACCCGCCTGACTCCGGCCTCCCATCCTAACCGTGTCGAACTTCGTACATCGAAAACTGGCCAATACGATCGCTCCTTTGTCCCTAGGATGTCGAGGTTGTGGATGATCTACAACAGGAGGCTTTTCCCAGTTGTACTAACCTTAGGTAGTTAAAAATCGGATTAACAACGTTTCTTTGAAATCCTCATAGCAGCCGCTGTCCCGGCATTCAGATAATTCTGGCCGGAAAAAAGAAAATGATCAAAAGAAATTGGGTAGGATTTTATTTAAGCAACCTAATGGTGACCTTGACCGCAAAAAGATCAAATGTATTTTCTTAAATAGCACCCTGTAATTTTGATACCGGAAACGGGAACAACCCAAGTTTGGATATCGCCTTGATTTTGGCGGTCAATCAAGGACAAAGCGATTTCCTCAAATGGGAATCTATACCTTCAACCCTAGAAAACGAAAGAGAACATTTTAATGTGCTTGACCATGGCTGTGGAATTGACCTTGAAAGTCATTTCAAGGTCATTTTTAATGTCAAATAGAACCCATATTTTCGACCTCGGAAATTTAGAGCGAAAATTTAAAGTCTGGCTATGTCCTTGATCAAGACCTTGTCAACAATCTGGAAGAGTTAGGTTAGGTTTCTTGTGAGTGCATCAATAACTCCACTGCGACTCGTTGGTCTATTGTGGCTCACACCTATTTATATTTCCCCGAGTAGCTCGGACCTCCTGAGGAAGTCGATCAACTTGTTTGGAGAAATATCCTTCAGGTTTTTTGCTTGGAGTACTACGTTTCCAAGTATGTTGTACCTGATTCTGGCATCTGCACAATACACGCCTGACCGTTTCATTTCCCTCCATGCACAGTCTGCACTCAGCGTCTTCCGCCATGCCCAGCCTGCTCATGTGGTGACGCAATTTGCAATGACCAGTGTACAGTCCTACTAGAGCTTCAAGGCTATTCCTGTTCAGCCGCAGCAAAGGTCTGTTGCCTTCTTTGTCAAGGTTGGTATAGTTGCCTTAGCATGGGTTAACCCTGCTAATCCCTCTCAGTATTGATGTCCACCGCTGCAGAGATTATTTGTTTAGCCGAATTGCATGCGATCCCAATCGCTGGCTCAGGCGCTATGAAGGGTGTGCTAGCCCCACTCTTTGCCAGAGTGCCAGCTGTCTCGCCCATCAAACAGAGAAACGAAAAAACGCAAATAAACAGGAAGACAAAGAGACGTAATGAAAACGTTGCGCGCCACTACCCACGAACTTGGATCCGATTGCTTTTGAGAACGTTTTTGCTGTTTTACTACTGTTCCTGAACCTGAACGATGTAGACATATTCGTGAATTTAATGAACTAGGAAACACTAATGCACAAAACGCTTATCTTAGTGGTCTTATCACTGTTCTTCCTGTCATGCGTAGACGCCCTCGAAAAAATGAAGCAGAGTCAAGGCTTAATAATGCTTCATTTAGTTATCGTGTCCGATTGGTTGAAAATGGAATTATACGTGATGTTCCAGTTTGTCTCAAGGCTTTTTTGTCTTTACACGGAATTAAAGTTCGTCGAGTTCGCTACATAAAAGACTCATCAGTTGCAACTTGGAAATCGTCCATCGACGTGCGTGGAAAACAAAACACATGACTTCATAAACTTTCAGAAAACACAAAACAGAAAGTGACCGAGTTTATTAAAGAGCCTCAAATGCCGCAAATCTCATTATTCTTTGGCAGATTCGCAAAAATTTTACCTACCTGAAAATCTATATATCACAAAATTACACAAAATGTATTCTATTGGCAATGTTGAAAACAAGATTTCCTATGAATCCTTCCGAGAAATCTTTGAAAACAACGTCAATATATCGTTCGGTTATACACGAAAAGATACTTGCAGTACGTGTGATTCCTTAAAAGCTGATATATCTTCACTTACCGCTACCTTAAATTCCCACACGGAACAAACTAGGCAGTCAGCAAGTAATAATTTGGAGAAAAAGATACTTGAGAGGACACTTCATCAAAAAAGGAGTGCGCGATTTTACAGTCTAAAGAGAACTTACCGTAAACGTGCCTCGATGTTCCCCGCTATCGAAAGTATCACGATGTATTACCAAAAAAACTTGCCCTGTCCAAATATTACGACAAATGATGTTTACTATAAGCGGCAACTAAATTTCATCAGTTTTAACATCCACATTCTGTCAAACTCAAATTCTGTCTTTTATACCTACGATGAATCTATTGCTAAGAAAGCAGCTGACGAAGTCTGTTCTATGCTGTATCACTTTTTTTATAACATCCTGTCTATCGAAGTAAAATAACTTGCCATTTTCTGTGACTCATGTGCAGGGCAAAATAAAAACTTTACATTTACATATATTCGGTTTTTGCATTACTTGACTACCAAGAAAAATCGTTTTACTACTGTGAAAGTAATATTCCCGATCAGGGGGCATTCAGTCTCGTGAACCAAAGAGCATACATACACTGAGGTACCGAATAACTGGAGAGATGAACTGAAAAATTGCCGTGTGAAACCTACACCATTTGAAGTCATTGATTGTGGCAAAAATTTTAATTTTCAAGATTGGAGTACGTTTTTATCGCCGATTTATCCAACGAAGTGTCCCTTTCCAACCCGACCAGTCAGGATGCTCAAGTTTTGTAAACAAAATCCTCGCGTAGTTTTTGACAAATCGGAACAATCTAAAAAAGACATTGAGAAAACTTTACCAGGGCCCAATCCCAATTAAAAGTAAGAAATGGAAGGATCTGCTGGACTTGACCACAGTTCTAGAGAGAGCAGATTCCAGGCCATTTTATCAACAGTTAATATCTCTTTATCATTCAGAAGACAGCAGTGGTGAATATGTAAACCCACTGTTTAGCAAAGATATTCTTTACGACTTATTTTTTCATCAATTTTACTTTCCAACAAGTCAGAAAACCTCAATTACCGATTTTCTCAGAATCAGTCCGGATTTATTGTCGTTATTCCCCGGTACCCTTCATTTGTTTAGGCTTAATTCCCCAGTTCTTTCGACAGACCCTTCGGCAGTTCCATAGCGAGATCCTTGCCTTCTTAAGGACTGCTTCCAGATGCGAATTCCAGTTTAGTGTTTTATCTAAGATTATTCCTAGATATTTCGCCTTTCTTGCAAACGGTTATTCCAAGGTCATTTCGAATTACTTGAATATCAAAAATCAGAACATAGATAAGTATAGTCACATGAGAAAATCAATTTGACCTTGAAATGATATTCAAGTCATGGTCATGGTCAAGAATATATGTATATTAACTTCGAATTTTCTCTTCCAATTTCCGTGGTTAAAAGTATATGGCCCCATTTAAGAAAATCCAAGTTACCTTAAAATGGCCTTCGAGGTCAAGGTCATTGTCAAGATCACTATCAGAATCCTACAACTCTTGTTTCAGTCATTTTTTTTTCTCCGGTCAGCATTTTCAGAGATTGGGGGAGGGGGTAAGTACAGTCGACCCCCGATAATCCGGCCCCTGTCTAATCCGGCGCCCCCTGTAATCCGACATGTCTTTGAATATGTATTACATACATACGTATTTGACAATCTTCGCTAATGTAGATCACGCAGGTTTGAACAGGTTACAACTTGTACGCGCCACCACTATCGTGCTCGACGCGTAAGCATTGTTTTACTTAGTTTGAATTTGACTACTGGTGATAGCGGTACGGCCCAGCGTGCGTTCATTGTTTACTATTTATTCATTGTGTATTAAGTATAGTGCCTAGTAATATCATCACAAACTCAGAAGCGAAAGCACAAAACATTTACAATTAAAGAAAAATGTGATATTTTAGACCGCTTAAATCGCAATGAAACTTTCAGAAGTTTAGCAAGTGAATACGGCGTAGGCCGATCTACAATTTATGACATTAAAAGAAACCACGAGAAGATCAAGAAGTTCGTGTCAACTACTGACTGCGGGCAAGGCAAGAGACAGACACTCAAGAAAGCTGAACATCCAGAAGTGGAAGAAGCTTTGTACATGTGGTTTCTTCAGGAAAGAAATAGGCATGCACCAATTTCAGGACCCATGTTGGCCATGAAAGCTCAGTTTTTTTATAAGAAAATAACAAAAAAAATGCTTTTGTGGCCAGCAAAGGATGGCTAGAACGTTTTAAAAGTCGTCATGGCATACGTTTAATGACTATTACAGGAGAGAAACTTTCTAAGGATGCCACCTGCATAGAGCCCTTTAGATTAAGATTTTTGCAAAAGGTGAACGATTTAAATCTTGACCCGTCACAGGTGTACAATGCAGACGAATCAGGGCTTTTTTGGCGTATGATGCCTAAAAAAACTTTCGTTTCTTGTAACTAAAAATCCGTACCTGGACGAAAAGTAAGTAAAGAGTGTGTAACCATACTACCATGTGCTTACGCTGCGGGCACACACGCGCTTAAGATGATGGTCATTGGGAAATCTAATAAACCACGGGCATTCAAAAACATTGATTTATCTGTACACTATTACGGACAAAAAGTGCATGGATGACAAAAGACCTTTTCAAAAAGTGGTTTGATGAATGCTTCGTACCTGAAGTTAGAAAATGGTTGAAAGATCATAATTTTCCTCAAAAAGCGTTGTTGCTTCTTGATAACGCTCCCGGTCATCCGTCTGAAGAACTAACAACTGAGGATAAATGCATCACTGCGATGTTTCTTCCGCCAAATTGCACTGCACTGATTCAACCAATGGACCAGAATATCATTCAGTCTGTCAAGCAAGACTATAAGAAAAACCTACTTCTGAGAGCCTTATCAAAAGACCAACCAATAGAAAAAACTTTAAAAGACTTTAATATGAAAGACTTGGTTTTTGCTCTTTGTCGGTCGTGGAATGCGTTACCGTCATCAACTATTAAATCGTCTTGGAAAAAGTTATGGCCAGATATAGTCACCACTCCTAGCAACGTTCCACAAATCAGTGTTACTTCGGAAGTTATAGAACAAGTCGCTACTGAAACACAGATAAGTCCAGAAGATTTGGAAATCTGGTGCCGTGGAATGGATAAAGAGGAAAATGTTTTTCATGGAATGTCTGACGAAGAGATTATATGAAAGGTTTCTAGTTATACAACCAACAATCAGGAAAATAACGACGACGTGATTGCAACTGCTTCACAATTCACAGCACAAGACGCAATTAACGCCTTTGAGCTAGGTTTACAATGGGCTGAAGAGAATGGTACATCCTACAACGAACTTTTATTTTTGAGAAGACTGAGAGACAAAGCTCTGATCTCGCGTTATAACAACCTTAAACAAACAAAAAATTTATGAATATTTCCAAGCTTCATAATTTGATAAATTCATTAATGATTTTGATTAATAATTCTTGATTATTTTGGTACATATGTATGTGCATTTATGCCTAATTTTATAATAAAACGTAAGCTCTTTATTGTTATTTAATTTACTAAATTCGACATACATAAACTATGTATGATTTGTACTTGAAAGTACATACATATACATAACATATATAATCTTACCATTGGATATGTAATTTGTCGGATTACAAGGGCCTCTTTTGTAAAAAATTCTGGACTATAGGGGGTCTTAGGCAGTGCTGTATAATCCGACAAATTCGATAGTCCGACACCGCCCTGCATAATGTTTGTCGGATTACCGGAGGTCCACTGTAACTTTTTGAACACCCTGAAGGTAATAAAACACACTTTGTTTTTCATATCTTTAATCTCCTAGGCTTCTAACAAATATAAGTACTAAGACGTATGAGATATTTCATACAGTAAAATATTAAGTCTTCATATACAAAATCAATATAAAAATCACTTCTATCACAATATATGAATAATCACTCTTCAAAAGTAACTATTGTACCTACACATATGCTACAGCATGTTGTACATCTTGCCTTCATTAGAATACAGATACAAACAATAGCATGCAACAAATATTAGCAGCATGAGTAGAAATCTAAGAGCAGGCATTCTGAGGTACTGAAGTCGAGGAATGACCTATGGTGATCTATAGACATGCAGGCCTCACTATAGATGCCTGAAACAAAAAATCATGCTCACACTTTATAGACTTAGTTCCCTGGAAAAAAATCGGCATGCATTTTCCGCACTTTTGGAACTGCAGTTGTGTGGTATTCGTATAGTCTACTATTATGTAAAATCTTGCATTTATATCTACATTTGAGCTATGGACATGCACCAAATCTATCAAACGTACAAAAGTCAGTTCTAGTAATACAAGACGGAATCAGGTACATTTTGGCAATATTTAGAGGCATGCATTAAGAAAATGTACGAAATCAACTCTATGATCAGCATCAATAGACACAGATAAGGGAATATAATCTAACCACAAATATTGAATACCACTCCATATTTTCTACTAACAGTCAAATTCAAGACTACTTATGACATAGTTATGCTGATTTTCTTGCTATTTTTTTAAGGTGCAAGTTCATGGTACTGTCAAAAGTGGACGTGTGTCGAATTTTAAGTCAACACAACAGCATGGCTAAAAACGAATCGCCTTGTCTACAGTATATCCAGATAAGAGATAGACCGGATGTAAACAAAAGGTTCGGGTGATTTTCACGCTAACGCCGCCGTCTCGACGTAAAACAGGAGCCCTCATTGGTCAATTCGCAATTAAATGCCTATGCCGAGCGGCAGAGCAGTCGTATCAAGGCAGAGTCACATTCAGGTTCAGACGTGTTACGTATGTCGTGTGCATCATTGCAATTTGATATTTCTTTGGACGTTTTCGTTTGTTATCTCATTAAATTGTTGAGTTTGTCGTTGTTATTGTTATACCTTGTTATTGATTGTTATTGTTATCAACTGCTTGCGCAAAATGCCCAGTAGTACAGATACTGCCGATGAAGTTGTAAACTCCTGTAGTCCACCTAGGAAACGCTCTAAAAAAAGACACCTGAGTGCAGAAATGAAAGAGGTCATTTTGAATATATATAAGATCGAGCGCGAGGAGAACGAGGCATCAACGATCAAAAAAATTGTTGTGAAGGTTTCTCACAAAGTTGGGGTGTGAAATACCTACTATAGATAAAGTACTGCAGGAGGTAAATGGAGATACAACGTTGCCAAATTTCAAACGATCAACTTTCCATGCGTTACTGAAGCATTTAAATTTCAAATGGAAAAAACGGGGTCGTAATAGTTTACTACTGGATAGAGAAGAAATTGTGCTATGGAGGAGGGATTATTTAACAAAAATTGGGAAATATAGAAATCAAAACAGGAAGATCTATTACCTTGATGAAACGTGGGTAAACGCAGGACACACTACAAGTAAAGTATGGGTTGATGATTCTGTAACTTCATCCAGGAGGGCCTTTCTAGATGGACTGTCCACCGGATTAAAAAATCCAGCAGGTAAATACGAGTAATAGACAACAATCGGATGTTTTTCAAACCTTGGGAACAAGGTTCTAAACATTAATTCCAGGGTTCATCAAATTCGGTAAGTTATAAGTAATTATAAAGCTACTGTATTTTTTAATTAATTATTGACATTTTTGAACCCATTTTGGCAAAACCTATTCAAGAATCTACTTTCTGACAATGTTCAACCATGCACATTTTTTTACGTTTTGAACGTTTTAATTTGGTTACATATTTACCTAGAAATCAAAAAATATACTAATCAATATTCTAAAAGCAATTTTAAGAAATATACGATTATTTTTAATTTAGGCTAATTTAAACGCCATTTTGAGATTATATTCGACTGTATTTCACCAAACATCAGGCGGCATCCGAAGCTGGAAATCGAAGCGAAAATTTTGAAACCCTTATGTATATTTACATCATTATATATTTCTTACCCCACCCCCACATGATCCTATATCCATCACCAATCGTATACACATCGAATTGTGCTAATTTACTACAAAGTTACGCAAAGCAGCATCTACTATCTAAAATATGTACTGCGTGACTCTTAATAGGTCCCTGCCGAATGTTACAGCGTTCAATGATCACGTGGTCTTGTTTATGTCCGGTCTATCTCTTATCTGAATATACTGTACAGCCTATTTCACGAGTATCCATTACGTTTTGACGTCTACTGGGGTGAACAGCTGATCAGCAAGTGACATCTTTGTATTATTTTCAATTGGTTGTAAATCTGCTTGTAGCGAAACTTTTATAAATAAAACAGGTGCTAGCAAATAAAAAAGAAAACGTAGCGTAGAAAAAACCACAAAATTCGACTCTGTCTACCTAGCGTTGACGGGTCGGTCATAATGTCGATATGGGGAATTTTGCGACAATACTAGAAAATCAGCTGTGATTCTATCATAATGGGTACTCGTGAAAATGACAATATTGCTTGAAATATTAAATCGTTCGTTGAACTGTCGGAGATCTGTTGGAACAGTGTATCAAGCGTCCCATGAACCGTCATAGGTTTGTGTTGGAACACTTCAAGCGGACTGCGCACGTTGCAACAATGCAGGCGAGTATGCAGTTTTGCATGATTTCAGTTTTTGGAAGAAAAGAAAATGATTTTATCCGTTTATTTAAAGTGCTCATTTAACTAATTTTTGGAAATTGTAACCTAAAACCGTGTTGACAAGCAGCATATAATTCGAGCGTCAATAAGCAATTTTAAGCGATCTACCAGTGTCAAGTTTCAACTTTTTGTGTTCAACATTGACGCTCGAGAATCACAAATTTGACCACGAGTAGACCACCTGATTTACCTTGACGCGCTCATGAACATGTAACTTCATGGTAAATCTATGTCTGACTGCATTTCCTTAACAACACACGAACGCTTTATGACAAATGAAACCACTTATGTTGGATTAACTACTGACGTTTATACAAATCTTTAAACGTTAGTAAATATAATCAATCCAACATACAGTAATGGACAAAAGTATATAGACTATTATAGACTATAATATTGTGCTGTATTTCTTTTTCCACTTGTTTTATTAATACACCAACCTGTATACATAATTCGTTATAGCATAATACTCACTTATACATAAATAAATTCATTAGACTCCCTTCAATAAAAAATTAATTGAAAAAAACTGGAACTATGAAGGACAAAAATATGTAGACAAAGCAAAACAATTATAGAAAAAAGAAGCAAAGTTCATTGAATTATAGAAAACCAACCATGTTTGTGTTAATATTTTGTAGCATAACCATTATTATCAATCACCGCCTGGCATCGTCTCGGCATAGATTGTAGAAGTTTCTTGATCTTAGATTCATCAATCTGTCTCCACTTTTGCTCTAAAGCGGCTAAAAGTTCATCCTTGTTTGAATAATTTTTATCTGGTATTTGCTTATCTAAGTATTCCCATAGTTTTTCAATGGGATTTATATCGGGAGACTGTGAATGCCATTTGAGAACTGGTATTTTTTCCTCCAGAAAGAATTTCTTTGCGAGATTTGAAGTGTGCTTCGGGTCATTATCTTGCTGGAAGATTGATCTTGAGGGCATATTGTCTTCCATATAGGGTATCATGACATGCTTTAGTATGTCTGTGTATACAAACTTATCCATAATGCCATCTATTCTATGTAAAGGTCCCATCCCAAACCCCGAAAAGCAACCCCAAACCATAACAGACCCGCCTCCATGTTTGACAGTGGGCAAAGTGTACTTGGGATTCAATCTTTGTCCACTAGGATGTCTAACTTAATGAACACCATTTGATCCAAACGTATTGAACTTGGATTCGTCACTGAAACATCCCCTTTTTCTAGGCCGACCTCTTCTCTTAGAGGCTTCCAAAATACCTTTTGTTTATATTCTTTCAATACTGCTTTACGCTTCAGCTTCAAATTTTTCGCAATGTCGACTTGACGTTGACCATCTCTGTATAACTCAATGATCTTAGTTTTCACATCGAAAGAAATTTCTGGACCACGCGACATGGTCTTAAAATCACTCAACTTATTCCACAATACTTGATGAACATAAACTAATCCTCTTCTGACACGAAACTGTACTAAACTAATGTTGAAAAGAATTTGTCTTTGTCCATCATAAAAAAGTGCTTATATTCAGACTTGTGTTCATTGCAGATAATGTAAAAACAAGGAATTTAGTTTTCTACTAATAACGCATTTGTTTATGGAGCAATGAAGCATGAATTCGTTTTCAAAAGGTATTTAGGTAAGTATTCATATTTGTCTATATATAGACAGTATATATACTTTTGTCCATTACTGTTTGTGGTTTCAGCAAAACATGGAAGTTTATCAGCATGAAAACCACGAGAGTTTCAGATGATAAATTAACAAACGTTTTTGTGAAAGGAAATAGATATTATAAGCGTTTTGTATCCAACTGGAAAAATATAATTGGGATCTCGGAAATGATAAAAGATAAAAAGTCGCTGAAATGGGGCAAAATTGTGTATTTAGGTAACTAAGAACGTGCCTTTTAGAAAGTTGCGAATTTCAAATTACCTCCAATGATAGACGGGAAAAAGAGATCCCCCCCCCAAAAAAAAAATAAAAAAAGGTATAAAACCATTTCAATTTTTTACCAACTTTTTTGGTAGTGGTATTTCAAAATAAATTGCACATTAACATTGCCACTTTTTCTCCTCTACAAGATTAGCATTTAAATATGACGCTTCGTCTATTTTTCTTTTTTTAAAAAGGTTCAGGTGAACTCTTAATTCTGATTCAGAAATTGTACAGGATGCGCCACAAAGGTCGGACGGTTTTCAAAAAATCAAAAAATCTGAAATTTTTACTCAAAAATTCGGGTTCACAATGAAATATCGTTTGTGACAGTTAAATGTAGAAAACCACATCAGTCATGTGGTGACCATTTTTAACAATGCACTGCTAGAGGCGTTCTTGAAAGTTCACGTAAACTCTCTCCAACATCGTTCTCTCAACTTGGGAGACTTCCACGCGAATTGCCTCCTTCAAATCGCCCAGAGTTCGGGGCTTGTGCTGGTATACACTAGCCTCGAGGTGTCCCCATAGGAAAAAATCACAGATGGATAAATCTGGGGAATGAGGAGGCCGATGAACATCACCAAACCCGAAAATAAGGCGACCACGAAAGAGATGTATGTAACTGTCGCGGATTTTCATTAGCCCAATAACGGCAATTGTGCTGGTTAACCAAGCCATCAAGATGAAAGTGAGCTTCATCACTCATGAACAAAATGAGGTTCTCATTTTGTTCGATAAGTGGAGGTATATATCAAAAACATCCGTCGTTTGTGCCGGACCCCGTAAAATATGTCATACATTGACATTGCTAAACCTTTTCAAAAAATTTCCTAGGTAGGCCGTGGAATTATTAGATATTAATTTGTTTCATATACAAGATTTATCAGAAAATATTTTTTTCCTGACCATACATTTTTATTTCCTTATAATTGTCGTTCGTAAAACAAATCCGTGGCCAACTAATGAATATATCAAATCACTGAATTTACGACTGGAAACTCCATTTAAATACACAAAATTCCAATATAGCGACCATACATATATATAAACAAAATTGGTGATGGAAGTTAAAACAAGATACCTCGAATTGAAAATTTTACTACGCCATATTGTAGAGGATAAACAGTAGCAATAACAGCATGCAATTTATTTCGAAATTCCATCTCTTGGCGATAAATCTGGCATATGAAACAAATGATAATTTTGAGGAGTACCTAGAAAATTCTGTTTTTTTAAGTAGCTAAGATTTGTCAATCTATGACATTTAATACAATTTTAGAATTCAATATGGCGCCCTTAAGAAAAATAAAGTTGATGCTGGAGAACAAGGGACGAAAAGTCATTGAAATTATAATTATACAGGGTGTTCCTTAATCATATGCGGGTGTGAATCTACATGAAAAATTAATGTTAGTTTGCTTTATAAACTATGGTCCAAAAATGTTTCCTTACAAAAACTCGGGGTGTTGAAGTTTTAGGAAAAAAATTGATATTAATTAATATTTTCAGACCCGCTTCAGATATTTCACTGATATTTAGTACGTAGTCAAAGTTAATAAAGTTGCATATTTTTGAATGTAAAAAATAATTTTTAGTTTTAACAGTGGCGTGCATACGGGTATTCTCTTCGATACTTTTTAAGAAAAAAATGGTACGCCAATGGTTTTTTGCCAAACAAAAATTATTTTTGAATTCCCCGTTCAATTTAATTGTTTTCCTTAGATGCGCCATTTTTGAGTAAAAAAATAAAAACCGTTCTATTGTCCGAGAAAATTAATGTAATAATTGAAGAATGGAATATGTCACTGGCTTTTGACATCTGGTAAGTCTGTTATTCAAATCTGTTCGCTGTGACATCTTTTTCATTATTTAGTTTTTACAATCTTGTTAATAATGGTGAATTATTCAAATGGAGAAATGGCGGAAATGCATTACGTATATGGCCTTGCCGACGGTAATGGTGAGCAAGCCAGACGGATTTATCACCAGAGATATCCCGATCGTGCTTTGCCAGATAGTCGAACCTTTTCTAATATTCATCGTCGTCTTGTTGAAACTGGTTCTGTCCGAAAAGGAACATCTGAAGGTTGACCTCTAAATGTGAGAACACCTGAAATTGAGGAAGCAGTGCTGCACAAAGTCGAAGAACATCCTGAAACGAGTACGAGGAAAATCGCTAGACACTTAAATATTTGCCATCAAATTGTTTGGAGAATTTTAGTGGATTTTTTGTTATATCCTTGCCATATTTTAAGAGTACAGGCATAACTTCCCATTTATTTTCCAAGGCGTGTGACCTTTTGTCAGTGGTATCTTCAAAAATTTACACAAAATCCGCAATTTGAATCCATGATTCTGTTCACGGTCGAAGCTAATTTTTCTCGAAATGCCATTCAGAATTTCCACAATAATCATTTGTGGGCAGAAGAAAATCCCTATGCCGTAACCGAAACCCATTTCCAACACCAATTTTCGGTTAACGTATGAGCAGGAATTATTGGCAACCACTTTATTAGCCCATTCTTCTTGCCGGGACGACTTGACGGGCAGACTTACCTCAATTTTCTTCAAGAACAGTTGCATTTGCTGCTTGATGATGTTCCGTTAGTAATAAGAAACAATATGTGGTACATGCATGATAGTGCACCAGCGCATTTCAGTGTAGTAGCGTTTTGTAATTATTCATAAACTGTTTATCCAAATCGTTGGATTGGCCGCGGTGGGCCCCAAGAATGGCCACCAAGGTCCCCAGACCTCAACAGTTTAGATTTATTTTTGTGGGGCTATCTTAAGATACAAGTCCCATTAACACTGTAGATGAATTAAGAGAAAGAATAGTGGCAGCTTGTGATAGAATACAAAACACTCCAGGGTTATTTCAACGAGTGCGCAATTCCATGAGAAGGAGGGCGGAAGCATGCATATTAAGTGAAGTGGGCCATTTTCAACAATTATTGTAATCATTTCGTTGGTTTATGTTGTCAGTTGTTGTTGTTGTTCATTACTCCTAATATATTTAATTTTTTCAATTAAATTAATAATAATTTTGCAAGTTCGACAATAGAACGGTTTTTATTTTTTTACTCAAAAATGGCGCATTGAAGGAAAACAATTCAAGATAGATCATTTGTTTTAAATTGAACGGGGAATTCAAAAATATTTTGTTTTTGGCAAAAAACCCATTGAAAGTCAATACCCGTACGCACGCTGTTAAAGCAAAAAATTATTTTTGCATTGAAAAATATGCAAATTTATTAACTTTCACTACGTACTAAATATCGCTGAAATCTCTGAAGCGGTTCTGAAAATAATGATTAATGTACGATTTTTTTTTCCTAAAACTTCAACACCCCGAGTTTTTGTAAGGAAACATTTTTGGTTCATGGTTTATAAAGCAAACTAACATTAATTTTTCATGTAGATTCACACCCTTAAATATTCGCATATCACTAAGGTATATGAATATGGGAAAAATCGTTTTTTTTCGAAACTTTCTGAGCGGCACTTTGTACTTTCCTTATTTCAACTTTGCTTGCTTTGCTTTGATACACGCGGTATAATTAGAGTATTTAACATGCTAACGACTATCTCAATGTTAAGTTTGAACGTTGGTGTACTCGTAAAATCAGAGACCCTTCAGTGTGTTGGCAGGATGAACACAAACTTTCGTAGCTTAAACCACAGTCTCTACGTCACTTATAACCTGTATTCCATGCTTAGTAAAAATGAATTTGATCAGATTCTCATCACAGCTCTTGCATTCTTTAAGGCTGGCATTTGTAGCGGTGCTTTTAGGACTAGCTTTCGAATCCAGGTCCTGGAAGCTTGTGCAACTTTTGCTGGTTTTCAGTGCCGATCTCTCTTTACATACCTCTCCGCTAAGGATCTTGGTGCTTCCGGTGGAATCTGTGATGATTTTGACGGCTTGACCGGGATGTTTGATGGTGCCACTAACTTTGACAGTTGACGGCATATCGTTCTCGTTCTTATCGTAGTTTTGACGAGAGAATATATTGTTGTTGCATATGTACATGCAACTCATCGAGTTTGGAGCCTCCATCGGCACGTCCGAAGGAGAAGGGGTGAGAAAAACGGTGCTGGCGGTTGGATGCAAAGCAGGTTGCAAATACTTACTGTTTTTGTCCGATTGAAGCACAAAATAAGTATACGGTATTGTTAGTATCATAACACAATGTATTTCATCTAGTAAGCTACGATTTTTTCCGACATTTCTACACAAAGAACAATAACGACAAGTTCAATTAGAACTTGCAAATAGACCAGAAATGAATACGAGCCCCTTCCCACTTCAATTGGCCCACTACAAAATTTGTACCAAAATATGACTTTATAAACTAAACGTGACGAAACTATTTACTTCTAAAACAATTTATTTTCTCAAAAACATTTTAGATACACTCTAGTCGTAAAAAATACATATTTGAAATCACTTACACCTACAACTCATAGAACATCTGAACAAATAAACAATGTGCGAATAAATGCGCGAAGTTAACAAAGCAACAATTGAAAGATTACCATTGGTAACATCACCTTTATTTTTTATTACGGCTGAAATTCTTTGGGGCATACTGTTAACAAAGTTTTGGCAAACATTTGGTGTAAAACAATCCCATATTTCTTGAAGATTTTGTCTCAGTTCGGTGATTGTACGAGCAGGATGTTGTCGTAGAACCTTTTTCAACTAGTGCCACAAAGTTTCAATAGGTGACAAATCTTGACTGCTAGAAACTCATTTCAAAAGTGGTACATTATTTTCTTCCATGCATTTTATAGCCTTTTTTGAGGTATGGCACGCTGCACCATCTTGCTGAAACACAAAATCTTGGCCGGATATCAAACATTCTTCCATCACCGGTAAAAGCGATTCTTCTAAAATTGCCAAATATTTGTTTGTATCCACATTTCCATCATTAAAATGAAGTTTTCCCACTCCTTTTAATGACATATTGCCCCAGACCATAATGGATGCTGGAAATTTCACTTTTCTCTTCAGACAGTCAACATGGAATGCTTCTTTTTTTGCGAATAACTCTACTGCGACTGTCACCAACACAAACTTCGAATCAGGCCTCATTACTTCATTGTATTGCACACCATTGTTCAGGTGTCCATTGTCTATGTTCTTTAGCCCATCTAAGCCGATTTTTCTTTTGCAGTTAATAGTGGCTTTTCTTTGGCCTATAAGTTGTGCAACTTTAGGGTTTTTAATTCACTTTTTGTATAAGAAAACTTACCTTGCAAGAGCTAAATCCCAGTTTGTGGGCCTCTCTATGAGTTGTGGTCCTCGAAATTCTCCTTCCAACAGCGTCACTCCACAGATCACTTAAATGTAAATAATTGACACGCCTGTTTTTCACGATTATTCTTCTTAATGCTCTTCGGTCGGCATTTGTGATATTACTTTTTTTCACATATCGTAGTTTAATATTAACTGAACCAGTTACGTTATATCTTCTAACAAAGTTGCAATTTCTGAGTTTTCCCAGAATTAAAAAATTTAATTATCAGTTACCGAATTTTCTCACTAGTAACCTTTCCTCTACCCATTTTGAAAACATTAACTACCCAAAACTATTTTAAACGTATTCTGACAGCAGTGATTAATAAAAACAATTGTCATGGCTTTTATTTTTCATAGCCACCTATGCGTTATAGACTTATTTTGCATTGAAATGAAAATAGGTTGATATGCTGTAATTGCAACATGTGTTATTTTTATGCTGCAAATTTGATTAGGGAGTGATAAAGTTGGTGTTTTCTACTATATATTATCAAAATATTCATTGTTAATATTTTAAGCCTCTAACACCCTGCTACATTTTTATTATTTGTGTTTGATAAGAAAAAAACTAAGATTTCAATAGTTGGGCCAACTGAAGTGGGAAGGGGCTCGTAGTTATAAAGCTGGTTTTTGTCCACATTAATGTTTACAAGTACAGTGAAATTGCTGATTAATTGTACCGCGAAGATCATCTTTGAGGCATTTAGCCAAGAACCAGGTGGGTTCAAAGATAAATTGGTAAAAAGCTGTGCCTGGATCTTACAGTTAGCTTAAGGCCGTATGTCACATTTTTCCAACTGCCTCTTTGAAGTTGCATTCTAAATCCTTTTTGTTTGATTGTTGAAGATTTAATTAGCACTAATGCTACACTGTTAATTTTGTATAATTATTCGTTTACACATTTTTTGAATCAATTTTCTGTGTGTATTCATAAAGTGATTTTTCACCTCACATTGCAACATTTTTAAATTCGAGACTTTTTAATATCATTGATCAATTTATTAAATTCAAATACATAGTCCCTTTTGAAATACAGATTTGCTAGTTATGCTACTATTACAACTTTGCAGATGAAAATCTATACTGCCTGTAGTTTCGTAGCTATGATAATGACTATTTAATTTTGTGAAGTTATCTAAATGTTGTAGTAAAAAATGATTTTTTAATTTGAATATGAAAATGGGAACTACATAACATATGAAATCTTTTACATTGAACCACCATAGTTCTTCTAATATAGACTAAAGCTTAGCATATTTTTTTATTTAAAATGATTCTCATAGCTTTATTTTGTAGAATTTGTAATTTTGAGAATATGTTTCCATTTGCTGTAAACAAGATGGTTGAACAATACAAAAATGGGGAAGAATTAGAGTGTTATACACATTTTTTTTTTGAATACAAACCTAGATTATAGGGAACTCTATAGAAGTAATTTATCTTTTTTGATAGTTTACTATTCACATATACGAGCCCCTTCCCACTTCAGTTGGCCAACTATTGAAATCTTAGTTTTTTTCTTATCAAACGCAAATAAAAATGTAGCAAGGTGTTATAGGTTTAAAATATTAACAATGAATATTTTGATAATATATAGTAGAAAACACCAACTTTATCACTCCCTAATCAAATTTGCAGCATAAAAATAACACATGTTGCAATTACAGCATATCAACCTATTTTCATTTCAATGCAAAATAAGTCTATAACGCATAGATGGCTGTGAAAAATAAAAGCCATGACAATTGTTTTTTATTAATCACAGCTGTCAGAATACGTTTAAAATAGTTATGGGTAGTTAAGGTTTTCAAAATGGGTAGAGGAAAGGTTATTAGTGAGAAAATTCGGTTACTGATAATTAAATGTTTTAATTTTGGGAAAGCAAACTCAGAAATTGCAACTTTGTTAGACTTATCGCGGTACAGTGTGAGAAATATTGTTAGAAGATATAACGTAACTGGTTCAGTTAATATTAAGCCACGATATGTGAAAAAAAGTAATGTCACAAATGCCGACCGAAGAGCATTAAGAAGAATAATCGTGAAAAACAAGCGTGCCAATTATTTACAATTAAGTGCTCTGTGGAGTGACGGTGTTGGAAGGACAATTTCGAGGTCCACAACTCATAGAGAGGCCCATAAACTGGGATTTAGCACTTGCAAGGTAAGTTTTCTTATAAAAAAGTGAATTAAAAACCCTAAAGTTGCACAACTTGTTTATAGGCCAAAGAAAAGCCACTATTAACTCCACTGCAAAAGAAAAATCGTCTTAGATGGGCTAAAGAACATAGACAATGGACACCTCAACAATGGTGTGCAATACAATGGAGTGATGACGCCCGATTCGAAGCTTGTGTTGATGACAGTCGCAGTAGAGTTATTCGCAAAAAATAATGAAGCATTCCATGTTGACTGTCTGAAGAGAAAAGTGAAATTTCCAGCATCCATTATGGTCTGGGGCAGTATGTCATCAAAAGGAGTAGGAAAACTTCATTTTATTGATGGAAATGTGGATACAAACAAATATTTGTCAATTTTAGAAGAATCGCTTTTACCAGTGATGGAAAAATGTTTGACAACCGGCCAAGATTTTGTGTTTCAGCAAGATGGTGCAGCGTGCCATACCTCAAAAAAGGCTATAAAATGGATGGAAGAAAATAATGTACCACTTTTGAAATGGATTTGTAGCAGTCCAGATCTGTCACCTATTGAAACTTTGTGGCACGAAATGAAAAAGGTTCTAGAACAACATCCTGCTCGTACAATCACCGAACTGAGACAAAAGCTTCAAGAAATATGGGATTGTTTTACACCAAATTTTTGCCAAAGCTTGGTTAACACTATGCCCCAAAGAATGTCAGCCGTAATAAAAAATAAAGGTGATGTTACCCAATGGTAATCTTTCAATTGTTGCTTTGTTAACTTCGCGCATTTATTCGCACATTGTTTATTTGTTCAGATGTTCTATTAGTTACAGGTCTAAGTGATTTCAAATATGTATTTTTTACGACTAGAGTGTATCTAAAATGTATTTGAGAAAATAAATAGTTTTAGAAGTAAATAGTTTCGTCATGTTTAGTTTATAAAGACATATTTTGGTACAAATCTTGAAGTGGGCCAAGTGAAGTGGGAAAGGGCTCGTATACCCAGGTACTACTTCAATTTTTTCATCATTAATCATGAGTCTAATTAGTGTATTGTCACCTAAATGTGTCTCTATTGACATACATTTTGTATTATTAGTGTTTGATTTGAGTTTATTAACATTTAACCAATTCATATTTTTTAATTGCAATATTTAACAGTTCTAAAGCAGTGCCCAAATGTTTGTGTGCTATTATACATATATCAATGTGTCGTCCGCAAATCTTTGAATTTTGTAGTGTTCTAGAATGTCAGAGATATCATATAAATGATATAAATATATAATAGTAACGGCCCTAATTTACTCCGATGTGGCATCCCCACTGATATATTTTGAAGGCTTGACATATTTCCAGTTTTAGTTTTTTACTGCTATTTACTACAGTACATTCAGATAAGAGATAGACCGGATGTAAACAAAAGGTTCGGGTGATTTTCACGCTAACGCCGCCGTCTCGACGTAAAACAGGAGCCCTCATTGGTCAATTCGCAATTAAATGCCTATGCCGAGCAGGTTGAGTTTGTCGTTGTTATTGTTATACCTTGTTATTGATTGTTATTGTTATCAACTGCTTGCGCAAAATGCCCAGTAGTACAGATACTGCCGATGGAGTTGTAAACTCCTGTAGTCCACCTAGGAAACGCTCTAAAAAAAAGACACCTGAGTGCAGAAATGAAAGAGGTCATTTTGAATATATATAAGATCGAGCGCGAGGAGAACGAGGCATCAACCATCAAAGAAATTGTTGTGAAGGTTTCTCACAAAGTTGGGGTGTGTCGCGCATCAGTGTTTAATGTGTTAAGACAATACAAAAAAAATCACACCTTTTCTGAGCCAATGACCAGTAAACATCGCAAAAGTATTGTTAAATCATTGGATGAAGCTGATAAGCATGCGATTAGGAGGAAAGTGCATGAATTCTTCTTTAGGAATGAAATACCTACTATAGATAAAGTACTGCCGGAGGTAAATGGAGATACAACGTTGCCAAATGTCCATGCGTTACTGAAGCATTTAAATTTCAAATGGAAAAAACGGGGTCGTAATAGTTTACTACTGGATAGAGAAGAAATTGTGCTATGGAGGAGGGATTATTTAACAAAAATTGGGAAATATAGAAATCAAAACAGGAAGATTTATTACCTTGATGAAACGTGGGTAAACGCAGGACACACTACAAGTAAAGTATGGGTTGATGATTCTGTAACTTCATCCAGGAGGGCCTTTCTAGATGGACTGTCCACCGGACTAAAAAATCCATCAGGTAAATACGAGTAATAGACAACAATCGGATGTTTTTCAAACCTTGGGAACAAGGTTTTAAACATTAATTCCAGGGGGCAGATAAAACATATTACAAGTAACAAAACTTTTATAACTTTCGATAAAATGCGTGGATGTTTTACTGTCATTTTCATTTGTTAGAACTTTTTTAAGCCATGTTTTTATGTGTTTTCGATATTTCAATAATTTTTTAATATAATCTTAAAATATGTCGAACATTATAAACTTAAAAAAAGTTACTAAGTTTTATATTGTGTACCGTTCCTAATATTTCTAATCATTTTAATTCATACTTTAAGCTTTATAAAGTTATAATTTGTTAATATTAATATTTGCGCGTATTTCAGGTTCCTGATCATTCATTTTTTAAAGGTTTATAACTTTAAATTAAATTGTGAAGCGCTGAGTAATCATACGACGTTCAATATTCTTTCTTTCAATATGACTAAATAATCCCAATTATAGCAATCTGATACTCATGTCTCAATGTTTTTTCGCTGAATGTGATGAAAACATTTGAAAAAGGTTCGCTTATTGAAATAAATCTACACCAGTTAGTACTTCGATTTCCAGGTAAAGGGAAAAGGCTCATTATCTGCCATATTGGCAGTGAGGATGGATTTGTTGTTGACGGTCTGTGGTGCTTTGAGTCTAAGAAAACTGGAGATTACCACGAGGAAATGAATGGCGAATCGTTTGAACAGTGGTTTTCAAAAATTTTACCGAACTTAGAGGAAAACGCAGTAATTGTGTTGGATAATGCGCCTTATCATTCTCGAAGAATGGAGAAGGTCCCAACAACGGCTTCAAGGAAAGTTGATGTTCAAAATTGGCTCCGCTCGAAAAATATCAACTTTGAAGAAGCAATGCTGAAAGTACAATTATTAAGAATTGTCAAGGATCACAAGGCGGAATATCAAAAATACGCCATTGACGAAATGGCAGCAAGTCAAAATAAAACTGTGCTCCGTTTACCTCCATACCATTGCGAGCTCAATCCCATTGAGCTCATATGGGCAGAGGTTAAAAATTATATAGCTAAGCACAATACAACTTTTATATTTTGTGACCTCAAAGGACTTTTCAAAGAAGCACTAGAATTAATAACAGCGCAAAAATGGGAAAACTGTATTAAGCACGTGAAAGACAAAGTTGAAAAGAGAATGTGGGAACTGGACAATATTTTAGAGGAACAAGTCGAGCCATTCATTATTGACGTTGGTGCTTCATACAGTAGCGATGATGAAAGCTCATCAAGCTCATCTTTCCAATAAAAGATGTCGTTCATCAAATTCGGTAAGTTATAAGTAATTATAAAGCTACTGTATTTTTTAATTAATTATTGACATTTTTGAACCCATTTTGGCAAAACCTATTCAAGAATCTACTTTCTGACAATGTTCAACCATGCACATTTTTTTACGTTTTGAACGTTTTAATTTGGTTACATATTTACCTAGAAATCAAAAAATATACTAATCAATATTCTAAAAGCAATTTTAAGAGATATACGATTATTTTTAATTTAGGCTAATTTAAACGCCATTTTGAGATTATATTCGACTGTATTTCACCAAACATCAGGCGGCATCCGAAGCTGGAAATCGAAGCGAAAATTTTGAAACCCTTATGTATATTTACATCATTATATATTTCTCACCCCACCCCCACATGATCCTATATCCATCACCAATCGTATACACATCGAATTGTGCTAATTTACTACAAAGTTACGCAAAGCAGCATCTACTATCTAAAATATGTACTGCGTGACTCTTAATACGTCCCTGCCGAATGTTACAGCGTTCGATGATCACGTGGTCTTGTTTATGTCCGGTCTATCTCTTATCTGAATATACTGTAAATAATTTTATAAAATGCTTGATACTGATGCTTTAAAACCATGGTCATATAATTTCGTCAACCATTTTTCCATATCTATAGTCTCAAAGAACACTGTTAAATTACATTCTTTCACATCTATACTTTTTCCCCAGTCTTCCACGACCATTTGGATTGCTCTTTCTGTAGAATATTTTTTTCTAAATCCAGTTTGATGTTTTATCAAAATGTTTTCTTCAATGAATTCAATAATTTGTTCGTATATTATCCTTTCGAACAGCTTCCCGACACCTGGCAAGACATTAATACTGAGTATTTGAAGGTGTATATGTGTTTGTGAGCTTTATTGTGCAGTTTTCCTTCACTCGTAATTTGCGAACACATACGAGTAGTACAGCTCAGAAAATGTATGAGAATATTCCTCTTTTGATTTGCTGGAAACCTGATTTTCATCATCATGATTCTCTCTTACAAGTGAAATATGCGCATACAATTTTAAAGGTGTATCATTCATTAACAAGTTATGATTGAAGAAAAACTGCACAAAATTGCATTTTTCGACAAAAAAAAACAAAAGAACATCGTTTTTCAGTCGTCTCTATACATACTATGAAACAATCAGATAGAAAGTATTAAGAACACAGACAGGCTGTTGAAAAAAAAGGGACATTCGATGTTATGGTCATTTCAAGATTCAAATTGAGAGATATAGGCTCAAGCTAAAATTGATTTCAAATTTACATTTAGAAACCTCATTTAAGCAAGCACGACTCTTAATTATGATTTTAGTCATAAACTGCCATAATCAAACGTCAATCAAATCCACACATTTTGTTAGATTAATTGATTTATTATACTGGACTCACCTCTTCTGAGATCCATACAAGTTGTGCCTATGAATATAGTCAATAACTTTATCTGGTATCAGATACCTAACCGATTCTGATCTCCTCAAGGCTCTTCTAATCCTAGTAGAGCTTATTTCGTTCCTTATCCATTCTGTTACGAGCATAATGTTGGCCTATTAAAGAACATTTTTAATAAAAAGTAAATAAAACATTTAATTTACATTAAACAGGGTGTTCGAAAAGAAAAACGAGATATTTGAGAGGGTGATTCTTGTTTTTTTTATTAATATCTAAAAAAATATTTACTCGATTTTGTTGAAATTTGGAAATATCATTTGTTGTATTAATTAAAATATCTATTTCGAACACCCTGTATAAGATTTTAATTATGTGATCTTACCATATAGCTAGTGAGCATATCAGAGTTGTAGATAAATTCATTAGGATTATATGAGGCCCTTGTTATAACTACCAGTCCATGTTGCCCAACTATGTCTGCAATCTAAAACATGAGTTCACGTAGATCGATTGTGCAGTTCGCAATTACCGGCAAGACATTGATATTATATATATATAAGAAATAGCAGAGGGCCGAGTACTGATCCTTGCGGTACCCCATTGCAAATAGGCAAAAGGTCAGAGGCGGTGCCCTCAGAGCTTACAAACGGCTTCCTATTTGACATATAACAACAAAATAGCGCTAACTCGGTATTTCTTATGTCATAGAATAGTTTTTTCAATAGCATAATATGTGAATTGACGCAATCAAATGCTTTCGTCACACATGGTAGCTATAGTATTAGAATTATCTTCTTCCGCTAATAAAGTGTGCAGTGCTTTTATTGTGGATGAATTTTTCGATAGCCAAATAAAAAAAAGGATAAGTAATACATCTACATCTTCATTTTCAGAAGTCATTCAAACCTAAGCTCATGCGTCATAACCTCTGAATAATTTGATAATATATATATATAGGGTGGACCTTTTTGGAAAAATATTATATTTATCAAAATACTACCTAGGAGTACTTGGATCTCTTGTAATTAGCAATTGATATGCTTGAAAAAAGTGAAGTGAAACAACTTACGTCTTCATCTGCCCAAAGGCCAGGTGTTCCAAATGATTCTAAAAGATCAGCTCCACATAGTAATTTGACTCGTATAGGTTCATTATCACTATTTTTTACATTTTCTGGTATCCAACTTGTATCTGATTCACTGGCGTCCAGGCGGTTATTGTTTGTGGAGGTCACAGCGTTCAGCACATTCTGAAAAAAAAATTTATGAATAAAATTTGAAATTGAAGATGTGAACCTTGACACTAGTCGTTCCTACAATTCGCCTTTATGGCCTCCTTGATTTTCATAGTTTTCTACTCTTCCATGTCAACGCTCTATTTTGAGGTTATGTTACAAATATCTATTTGAATAAAATTATTCATACTTTTGATTTATATCATCTGTTATATAGCCTGCAATTTCCTACAATTCAAGAAGAAAACATAGCCTGACAATAGGAGAGCCGTGACGCTGACACGGAACAGTAAAAATCTAGAAATATCCCAGCCTTTCTGAAGGAGAGGAAAGACTATGGAAATCAAGAAGGCCAATGGAATACAGTTTTATGGAGTGATGAAATCAAATTTAAGTTGTTTGGATCTGACGGTACGGCATATGTGAGACGTCCAATAAGAAAAAGATTCGACAAGTATCATTTGCTAACAGTTAAGCACGGTGGAGGCAACATCATGGTTTGGGGGCTGTCTTTCTAGTTCTGGAACGGGTATAGTAGCTTCAATATTGGATATACGGCTGAGAATAACAAATATTTATAGAAATATCGATGTTACTATGTTTGAAAATGTTTGACGCGAAATTACGGACCGGCTGTTATTGTGTCAAGAAGTTCAAGGCAACGATTTATAGCATCTTCTAAACTGAACTCAACGTATTTATTTGAATTATCAAGTTAAATGTCAATTTTGTAGTAGGTAAAGGTATTGACTTTATATTCTAGGGTTATAAAGTACTCGTCAGGAGCTTCAAAATGATGTGCCACAAAACCCCCCTTTTTCATATAATTTTTTTCCAAGATGGTACCCAGCGGCTATCTTGACATTTTCATCTGTCAATTTTACTCTAAAATATGGTATCCACGCATCAATTTCATCACCTCAAGTTTTAATTTTTTTAATTGATCCATTCAAAAAATCAAAGGGAAGGGGGACATTAAAGAAAAGCACTGTATATGAAACTAGATGCAGTATAGATTTTCATCTGCCAAATTGTAATAGAAGCATAACTAGCAAATCTGTATTTCAAAATATTTGAGGTGAAATTAAGAAATACTTTATGAATACTCAAAATGCATAGTGATGTAATTTTAATACGACAAGAATGAAGAATTACAGAAAACTGATTAAAAAAAAGTGTAAACGAATGATTATACAAAATTGACATTGTAGCATTAGTGCTGAATACATCTTCAACAAGCAAAGATTTTCTTTAACTATCATAAATCAAAAAGCAGTAACATGTGATTTACTGCTTTTATACTCTGCATAAATAAATTTACTGCATTTTTTTTATAGTTTTCATAATCTATTTGTATTATTTTTTCATTTATCGATATTGAAATTCACATAAATAGCACCAAAGTAAATCTCTTCACCATCTAATAATTCAATTCAATAATTATTCAATTACATTTAATAATTACATTCAACAAAAAAAATTAAAACAGCATGTTTTCCCATAGGTGTTAAGTTGTATGTACAATATTTTTCAAAATTATTCTTTCAAAGCAAAAGTAATAATTTACAATGATAAATATTTATTCATAAAGAACAGAAAAATATATCACTTTTTAACAGTTCAAAATATTTGAATGTTGCAGAGTTCTAAAATGTCAGAGATACCATTTATATAAATAATCGATAGCAGCAGCCCTAATTTACTCCTCTATGGCATCCATACATATATATTTTGAATGCTTTTGTTATATACTGACCTGATGGTAGTGAAGAACCTGCCTGGTTCTACTCCATGATTCTTGTCTGCATTCCCAGTCAGAAAGTCTGACCCAGTCATGATCCTTCAGGGCAATCTTCAACATAGCAATTCTTTGCGTAGATGATTCTAAATCTTTCTTGCCATAAGCATCATGCACTGGCGACACTACACCTCCTACAATTTCATGGCTACCCATCCGATGAAGATGATCTCTTGCTATCTCTAAAAAGACAAATGTAGTTCATGTCTCAGGGGTTTTGAGATCAGAAAAAATAATAGGATGAAATTTGGCATGGTGATAGCTAGCAGTACTAGGAATGAAAAGCAATCCTCACCACACGTGGAATAATTGACGTTCTAAAAATGTTATCATATAAACGTAGTTGTAGTAGTAGTATCATCCTTGTTTGAATAATTTTTATCTCGTATTTGCTTATCTAAGTATTCCCATAGATTTTCAATGGGGTTTATATCAGGAGACTTTGGAGGCTATTTGAGAACTGGTATTTCTTTGCGAGATTTGAAGTGTGTCTTAGGTCATTATCTAGATGGAAGATTGATCTTAAGGGCATATTGTCTTCCATATAGGGTAACATATGACATGGTTTGATATGTCTTTGTATACAAACTTATCCATAATGCCATCTACTCTATGTAAAGGTCCCATCCCAAACCCCGAAAAGCACCCCCAAACCATAACAGACCTGCCTCCATGTTTGACAGTGGGCAAGGTGTACTTGGGGTTCAATCTTTGTCCACTAGGACATCTAACGTAATGAACACCATCTGATCCATACATATTGATCCTGGATTCGTCACTGAAACATACCCTCTTCCAGTCACAGATGCTCCAATCAAGATGCAACCGTGCAAATGGTAATCGGTCCTTACGGTTTTTCCTCAGATTAGTGGCTTCTTACTCAATTTATTTTTGTACTTATAGTTTTTATAGAAACATTGACAATTCCTTTTGTCTCGATTTAGGCTTTTATTTGTCTTGGGGTTTTAAACACATCTTTGGACGAAATTACTTTTATTAATCTAACTGATCTAGCATTTAGTTTTCAAGGTCGACCACCTCTCTTAGAGGCTTCCAAGATACCTTTTTGTTTATATTTGTTCAATATTGCCCAAACTGCTTTACGCTTCAAATTTTTGGCAATGTCGACTTGAAGTTGACCATCTTTGTACAAATCAATGATCTTAAGTTTTCACATTGAAAGAAATTTCTGGACCACGCGGCATGGTCTTAAAATCACTCAACTTATTTCACAATTCTTGATGAACACAAACTAATCATCTTCTGACATGAAACTGTACTAAACTAATGTGGAAAAGAATTTGTCTACATATTTTTGTCCCTCACAAGAAAGTGCTTATATTCAGACTTGTATTGTGTTCATTGCAGATGTAGAAAAAAGGAATTTAGTTTTTCTACTAATAACGCATTTGTTTATGGATCAATGAAGTATGAATTCGTTTTCTAAAGTTATTTAGGTAAATATTCATATTTGTCTATATACTTTTGTCGATTACTGTATACCTAAATATATTATGAGACACTGCTAAATATCTACCCAACATATGACTGCGTATATGGTTACAGATCTTTTCAATTTTGAAAGCAGCACCAAGAAATTGATATGTATTTTAAATAATGCACCGTATAAGCATTCTGAAGATTATAATGATACAACATAATTTCATATTACCAAACATCCTCAGGTGCATGTTTGTTATTGGATTGAAAGATCCACATGCCAGCAAAATAACTTTTTGTGGCCCCATAATGTCGCCGTATATAAAACCACTAGACCTAAAAATTGAAAATGAATTTTATAATTCACATCGGAGCAGTGAGTTTACTTTTGTAAATGTCAAATAACCATCAAATTGACAAATAATCAGCTGTCACTGACAGCCTGTCAGCTGACAAACGTCCTCAAGACTTCAAGACACGACGTGCATGACATTATTTTCCTCAAAAACATGAGATCTCGTCAAAATAATGGAACACTGGCATCACCGCCTGCGCAGTCTGTGCCTCCTACGAGCTGTCAGGCAGGCAAGCAAAAGCAAAAAGCGGTGGTAGAGAAATGTACAAACTGGACAAAGTGAAGAGATTAGAATACCGTAATATTGAACTGTTTTTATGTATTTGCGAGCATTCCAAATGATAAAAAACCAAGACTATTATTCAAATTTTCTAGTGCAAATGTTATAGTGACTTTGAAAGTGTACAGTGAGTGTGCTTAGACTAATAACAAAATGAAAAACAGATCGCACTCCTCGAATAACCCTATTCATCAGGGGTGTGGCTCAAACAGCCAAATAAAAATCCATGTGAGCCCTACGACGGGGGGAGATTTTCATTTAAGCGTAGAACCCAATACGACCGTGGAGAATCTCAAGAAGATCGTTTCAAAAAGACTCAAAGTGCCCAGAGATAGGATCTGTTTACTCTTCAGAGATAAGTGGGTTGCCAAAGTACAGTTACATTTTTATTTCCTCAATTTTGTTATGTTTGTAGGCAACTTCAAGAGGGAAATCTGGTGCAACATGGAATTTCAGAAGGGTCCAGGATAACTTTGTTGCCTAATGTGGAGACTGGTCTCATTGTGAGTAAATTTTAGAACTTTGCATACATTACATAGTTATGATATAATGACTACAATATGGGTCCAGTATCAATGGCTTGGGCCACCATTTAACTAATTATCCTCATTTATCTTTATTAATGGCAGATCATAATATTAAAAAACATCATATTTGCATTGTCATAAAAAAATTTGATGTTATTAAAAAAATAAGCAAACAAAGCATTTATGCAATAACTATTACACAAAGCAAAATATTTATGATTTATTTGTAAAACAGCATGCTGTCACAAAATGATTGCCTGCACCCATTTGGGGAATTTATGAATATGGCTTTTGAGTTTTGAGTGTCAGCTAAGAAAAATAGCTTATGTTTTCATGTTCCTTATGTCACAAGGCTTTATGATACTATACGAGCCCCTTCCCACTTCAGTTGGCCCAACTATCGAAGTCTTAGTTTTTTTCTTATATCAATCACAAATAATAAAAATGTAGCAGGGTGTTATAGGTTTAAAATATTAACAATCAATATTTTGATAATCTATAGTAGAAAACACCAACTTTATCACTCTCTAATCAAATTTGCAGCAAAAAAAAAACACGTGGCAATTACAGCATATCAACCTATTTTCATTTCAATGCAAAATAAGTCTATAACGCATAGGAGGCTGTGTGAAAAATAAAAGCCATGACAATTGTTTTTATTAATCACAGCTGTCAGAATATGTTTAAAATAATTTTGGGTAGTTAAGGTTTTCAAAATGGTTAGAGGAAAGGTTATTAGTGAGAAAATTTGGTTACTGATAATTAAATTTTTTAATTCTGGGAAATCAAACTCAGAAATTGCAACTTTGTTAGACTTATCGCGGTACAGTGTGAGAAATATTGTTAGAAAATATAACGTAATTGGTTCAGTTAATATTAAGCCACGATATGTGAAAAAAAGTAATATCACAAATGACGACTGAAGAGCATTAAGAAGAATAATCATGAAAAACAGCTGTGCCAATTATTTACATTTAAGTGCTCTGTGGAGTGATGCTGTTGGAGGGAGAACTGGGATTTAAAAAGCCACTATTAACTCCACTGCAAAAGAAAAATCGGCTTAGATGGGCTAAAGAACATAGACAAAGGACACCTCAACAATGGTGTGCAATACAATGGAGTGATGAGGCCCGATTCGAAGTTTGTGTTGGTGACAGTCACAGTAGAGTTATTCGCAAAAAGAATGAAGCATTCCATGTTGACTGTCTGAAGAGAAAAGTGAATTTTCCAGCATCCATTATGGTCTGGGACAGTATGTCATCAAAAGGAGTAGGAAAACTTCATTTTATTGATGGAAATGTGGATACAAACAAATATTTGGCAATTTTAGAAGAATCGCTTTCACCAGTGATGGAAGAATTTTTGACATCCGGCCAGGATTTTGTGTTTCAGCAAGATGGTGCAGCATGCCATACCTTAAAAAAGGCTATAAAATGGATGGAAAAAAATAATGTACCACTTTTGAAATGGGGTTCTAGCAGTCCAGATCTGTCACCTATTGAAACTTTGTGGCACGAGATGAAAAAGGTTCAAGAAATATGGAATTGTTTTTACACCAAATTTTTGCCAAAACTTGGTTAACACTATGCCCCAAAGAATTTCAGCCGTAATAAAAATTAAGGTGATGTTACCCAATGGTAATCTTTCAATTGCTGCTTTGTTAACATCGCGCATTAATTTGCACATTGTTTATTTGCTCAGATGTTCTATTAGTTATAGGTCTAAGTGATTTCAAATATGTATTTTTTACGACTAGAGTATCTAAAATGTTTTTGAGAAAATAAATTGTTTTAGAAGTCAATAGTTTCGTCATGTTTAGTTTATAAAGGCATATTTTGGTACAAATCTTGAAGTGGGAAGCGGCTCATATAATATTTGACAGATATTGTGATATTTTGATTTTGATGGCTTTTATAGATACCAAAGCAGAATGTGTGGCTAGGCGTTAAATTATGAAAAAAATACTTTAAACATGATAGACTTAAGTACCATTAGCTAAATAAATTCAACAGTGCTTCATTAAAAATAACGATTCTTCAGTTCTATCAGTCTAGAAACAAGAGAATCATAGACATTGAGCCCTTACAGGCAAAAGAAATGACAGAGTAGAAGAAGGAGAACAGTAGAGAAAACAGTTCACTTAAAAAGTGTCAAAAAAGTGATACTAGGATGCTGAAAAAACTTACATGACCTCAAAAAAAGTTGAGTTACATTATATTGTATTGTGAGTCATGACTTTTGTATTCAAGAATCATTATTTTTTACATGGTTGCATTGAAATTCACAAACATATAATAATAAAATCTTTATTTCAAAATAACAGTGCATCATTACAATGTATTACACACTGTTAGGTGAAATATACGTCACAGTGTCATCGAGACAGGAAAAACAAAGAGGCAAAACATAATAGAGATTTTACATTTCAAAATATTCTTGAAGGTCATATGGTTCTAAGTGCATTAACAATTGATAAATACTCTTTTTATATTCTTTTATACCTGCCAACCTTTTAATTTCTTGTGGTAACATATATTTTAGTGCAGCTGTAATGGACATTTTTTTCTGTAACTGTGAGATGATGGACTGGATACACAAGATTTATATTTCTATTTCTCGTGTTATAGTCACTTCGTGGGTTACCGATAAAATTGTCGATATTTTTAAATGTAAAAATTAGAATCTTTTGAACATATATTGCGGCCACAGTTAAAATTTTATTACTGTTAAATTTTCCTCTGCAAGTCTCTAGAGGAAATTTTTAGGATGCACTTCAGCACTTGCTTTTGCACTAGAAATGCATTGTTTCTAGATGTTCTATATGTTTAGCCCAGGAAAGTGCTTGGTCAATATGAACTCCCAAGAATTTTCCACAGTCTGTCAGAGGAACTTCTATTCTTTCTGCTACGGTGATGTTTGTAGCTTCGATTTTTTTTTCATAACTTAAAAACAATCGCATTTGTTTTTGAGGTATTTAGAGATAATCCATTACGAGCAAACCACAAAAACGCTTTCTCGCAGAGGCTCAAAGTATTTTCAGCTAAATGGTTGAAATCTTGGCCAGAGACTAGTACACTAGTGTCATCAGAGTACTGGATCGTGCTTACATTATTTGGGCTTGTAATACTAGCACACAGATCATTCACAAAAATCATAAAGATGAGAGGTTCTAAGATGCTACCTTGTGGAATACCTCTTTCTACCCTTAACTGTAATGAAACGGCTGATATTTTATTCTTTGTAATGGAAACTCTTTGCTTACGATCTGTCAGACAGGACTTAATCGAGTTGCAAGCACTTCCCCGTATCTCGTATGCCTCGAGTTTATTCAATAGTAGAGAATGATCCACGCAGTCATAAGCTTTGGAGAGATCAAAAACCAGACCCAGCGATATCATATTATTTTCAAGGCATTCTATGATGTTGTGGCTGAAAGAGTAGATCGCCATGTTGATTTCCCTTTTACAAACCCATGTGACTCTGCAATTAAGTTGTTACATATCATATGATTCATAATTCTTGATTACATCACTAACTCATAAAGCTTTGCAAAACAAGAAAGTAAACATATTGGCCTATAATTTAGCAAGTCACTAGGATCTCCTTTTTTATATATAGGTATAATTATAGTTTATTTAAGTTTTTCAGGGAAAATACTGTACTTAAGTGAGTTGTTTATTATGTGAACCAAAGGTTCCAGAATTACTACTAAGCAATATTTTAAAATACTAGCTGGAATGCCATCATCACCACTACTCATTTTATTTTTAAGTTTTTTGCCCAGTTCTGCTAGTTCAAGAGCAGTAACATATTCTAGTGGCATACATTCTTGCATGGTCTAAAAAGTCAGAAGAGTTATATGTTGGTGCCTGTGGTAATAATTACATCATTAATACAGTATTCATTGAAAGCATTTGCTATAATTTTGACCTTTTATTTCCTTTACTATACTCCACACACATTTTCATTTATTATCTGACTCTTGTATACGTCTTTGATATGACTTATATCGGGCATTAGTTAACATGACTTATATCGGGCATTAGTTAACAATAGATTGTACTCTCTTCTGACTTTGTTATAGCATGGTTTATAGGAATTGTCACTGTTGCTTATAACATATAGAACATTCAGTCAGTCCCTACATTCCTTAATATTATTATCCGTTTCCTGAGAATGATTTGGGTTAGGGAGCCTTTTTGTCACTTTTACTGTTTTCATGGGAAACGATTGGTCCAAAAAAAAAGATTGAAATTATACTACTAAAATAGTTCCATTGTTTGTTTACATCATTCTGAGGAATTTGAAGTAATTTTTGCCATTTTACAAATCTGAGGCTAGTTAAAAAAATTCTTTATTTTCTGAACTGATATACCAAGGTAGATACTGTAACCACAAGCAAAAGTGTATATGCTTACATTATGTGACCAACTGATGTGTTCCTGGTTTCAGTAGGCCAAATTGTGTAAATTTCAAACTATCATTTCTTGATTTGCCACACATTGAACAAGGTCAGATCATAAAATTATCACAGGAAAACATACAATTTGAATTGATATCTTAAATATAAATTATCTTAACATCAATCTTGCCCATTTTTTTGGGTATCCAAGCCATTGTTATTTTCTGATATCCACAAAAACTGACCCTCCTCCATTATAACTGCAATAAAATGAAAAAATAGCAGATGGAGAATAACAATAATACCAACAAAAATTGCCATTAGTTGGCCAACTTTTTGATAAATTTTCACTTGATCCCCTTCACTCTACTGGGTGTCAAAGCCAGATGTGAGAAGGGGTTTTAATAAAAATTCAGAGTTTGGCATGACTTTTATGTGGGTCTTTTGCCACCTCAGAGAAAAGTAATACTGGACAAGATAAACTGCTAAATTCTGAGTGTTTTAAAACAAACCTGGTTCAAAAAAGTTGATATTTGTAGGAATGACATGCGATTAACTGAATATGTCAGTTCTTTAAAAAAAAATTTAATGCTGAAAATCTCAAAGACTTAAATAAAACAAAATCTAGTGGGCCAGTTTTTTTTTGCAATTTTGGTACACCCTGTATATAAAAATGCTATAATTTGTGTTTTTGTTACAGCAATGTTTATTACACAAAAGCTAACTCATATTGTCATTTAATTCTAAACTTTGCATTGTTTTTTTATATTTCATGACTGAACAAATAAATCTGAATGTTTAACCTCCTGCACCACTGGATGAGGAAGTATTGTTAGCACGAAAATAAGATATCGTTTTTGGATGTTATATGACGTTTCCATCACAAAAACCCATGTCACACATTTCCATTGGTCTGTCTGCCTGTCTGGTGATCCTTTGACCGACTATAACTTCGGAAGTACCGCTCAGATTTTGATGACATTTTCACTATACCAAGGACGAAAAAGCTTTATAGCTTTTGAAAATCGGCCCAGTGGCGGCGGCGTTGGGGGCAAAAACATGGTGACGCCTTTCAGATATACTTGATATGACGAGCTGATTCAGAGTCGAACTGGTAGATATCCTTGACATAGTAGCGGTACTTCTCAAGTTATAGGCGGACAGCCAGACAGACCGATGGAAACCAGTTAGTTCAGTTGAAACCATACAGTATTTCTGAATACATGACTGCTTACTTCATTTTAACTTTTATGGGTATGACATTAGTTCCACATCTGTTTGATTTGTTTATTTATTTATTTATCAACGAGCAACTGCCCAATTAAAGTACAGTATGGAAAATCTAATGTAAACCTAACCCTACTTTGACTTAGATATTTAACACTTAAAACAATAACACTTTACAATCCTTTTCATTTCTAAATTGAAACGAATTTAATTAAAATTTAAATATATGGGGAAATCAAATATTAAATATTACAGACAGGAAGCTAATTGAATTTTGAATGTCTTCTGAAAAAGTCCAATTTATTAGAATACTGATTTGCTAACCTTGAAGATCTAGACAGGAAGGAATTACTAGCATAATTAGTATGAAATGATCTCGCATGGAATGGTTGATTCAGTCTTGTTTGTCGAGAAGGCACATGGAGATTAATATTTTTCAATAGTTCTGGAGCAAAACTAAGAGAGTGCAAAATATTATAAAATAGTGACAGGTCCCTCTGATCCTGTCTTACCTGAAGGATTGATATATTGAAAGAGCTTTCAATGACGGAATAGGTAATGTCTTCAACCATAATGTTTTGTTTGAATGAAATGAATCTTAAGAATTTATGTTGCACTCTCTCAATTGCCTGAATATGAACATTATAGTTGGGTGACCAAACACAAGAACAATACTCCAAATGGGGCCTCACCAAAGAACAAAACAACGTTTTAAATGACAGAATATTATGAAAATGCTTAGCACATCTTTTTATAAATCCCAACAGTTGAAGAGATTTAGAAACAATCATATTTATATGGGTCAAGAATTACCCCTAAATCCCTAACTTGGGATACACTCATTAGAGGACAACCTTTCATGGTATAAGTATGAAAATGACATTTTTCCACATTGAGTTCCATTCTATTCATTTGACACCAGAGACTTAATGAGTTCAAATCAATTTGGATATTTGATCAATCATTATATTTGATTTTTAAGAATAATTTCAAAGCTGCTGCAAACATTAGAAAAATAACAGACTTAAAACAGTATATAATATCATTCACATGTATATTGAAAAGAAGGGGACCCAGATGAGAACCTTGAGGTACACCAGATGGCACATTAATCTCATTTGATTGAAAGCTTTGTATACGCACTATTTGTTTTCCGTCAGTGAAGCAAGACTTCAGCCATGATAAAAGATCCCCGCAGATTCCTAGACAATGTAACTTATTAATCAAGATCTCATGGTTGACCTTATCGAATGCTTAGAAAAATCTGTATAAACTATGTGAACAGAATAACCTTCCTCCAAGGATTCCAAAACATAGTTTGTGAGTGTTAAAAGATTTAACTCTGTGGAGTGTTTTGAAAGAAATCCAAACTGTTGGCTTATAAAACTACTTTGTAAATTTGCGGATAAAAATTCACACACTAGGCTCTCAAATATCATTCCAATGCAACTCAGTTTACTGATACGTCTATAATTTTTGACTTGTGAAGGATCTCCAGATTTCAGTATTGGAGTAATGAAGCTTGTTTTCCAACATTCCGGAAAAGTTCCACTTTTCAACGAAAGATTAAAAATATAAAATAGAGGTCTAGAAATCAGAAAGCTACAATGCTTAATCAATAACAGGGGTACAACATCAGGTCCAGGTCCTTTACTAGCGTCTAATTTGGACAGTTTTTCATAGATGGCTGAGATTGGAATTTCATAGATAAACAAATTGATGACTCCATAAGAAAGATTACTATTCTGAACAGTACTATTCTCTACACTGTAAGTTTTAGAGAGAGAGCTTGTTCATATGTATTATGTATTTGTGACCCTAGATTTGCAATAAATATTATTTTTTATAATTATTATTGCCATTTTTCATTATGCAGGCTCAACGACCTGAGATAGGCATAATGCAAGCTTTAGAATCATTGAATGACACACAAGTAACAGAATTCCTATGTGGTAAGGCACCGCTAAACCTCAGCATGCGTTTAGGAGACCACATGATGTTAATTCAATTGCAACTCAGCACAGCAGCTGGGGCTGCTGCTGCAGCAGCTGTATCTTCATCAAATAGGTGAGCAGAAAATTATGTTTAATACAGAATTTAAAAATACTTTGCTAAATGGTTTGTATGAACAAGTCAAATGTAAAATATATTGATTTACATTGTGTATATTGGGGGATTTTTTAATGTTTTTATTTAGAAAAATTAAAAGCAGTATGGTAAATTACACTACTCAAAAAAATTAAATGACTTAGAAGAAATCTAAATTTTTCTGTAATTTTTGACAGTGAAAAATAGTCGTATCTATATTTTAACAAAACGGCGGAAAAAATTTAGGAGCAGCGGTCGTCATGCATTTCTAACAAATAACGCAGGAAAAATCTTTTGCAAAATTGCTGCCTTCTTTTTAGCCCAAAGGGTTAACAGACATTTTTTTCTCTTAGGCCATATTGATCAGATAGGTCTATTCAGCTTCAATATCCTGTTTTTAAAATCTCGACACAATCATTTGGCGCGTAGATATCCGACTTTGAATGAAAAAGGATCCTTTTCTCAACAACCACTGATATCTCAGTAACCAGTGATCATTTAGAGAATGTAAGGCTATTTCCGAAAACTGGAATAAATCTCCTGTAAGATTTGATTGCAATATTTGAGGAATTTTTCTTTGTTTCCTTAGTATTACTTTGTAAAATGTCAAAAAAAGTTAGTTTTGGAAAATCGAGCGGATCTAGAAAATTGTTTTTCAGGGATTTGTGGATCCGTCGGCATTTGCGTGACTGAAAGCAACCCACGTCGATGTCGTACATGTGTTAATTTTCCCAATTATTTTTTCTTTAAATTGAAGGTATTACAGATATCCGATAGTGACACCAAAACAAGATGAATATTTTTCCATTTTCGACTGTTGCTGGATGTTTTGGTACAAAAATTTTGCTCCTTTCATGTCCTTCAAATTTTGATCAATCAGCAAAAAATAAACCTAAAAACTAGAATCTTAAAGCTTTAAAATGCTAAGTCTAGTTACAATCATTTTCACCACCACTAAGCGGCGCCCATGAATATGGATTTAAGGGAACATTGAATAGTGTGTGTCTATTTGTATGATAGATTTAGAGAAACACATAGGATTCCTATGCAACAGGAAATTAAATTCATCAATCAATATTGAAAAAGCTTTATGTATACATGGACACCGGAAATTTGAACTATTCCTTGAAAGTGTTTACTAGTACAGTTGCAACAAAATATTTCCAATTAATTGGAGGGTCAAAAATAATAAGATTTTGTTAAAAGTTTCTGACATTTCACAGAGAAAAAGTCCTCAAATATATTACATATCGAGTGTTTCAAGGAACTTTTGTCTTTGATTCGAAAATTGACCAATTTTATTCATGTGATATTAAAAGTATGGAGTTGACAACCACAGGATAAGTTTCAGATGTTATAATATCATGCCAGATTTTTTTTCGAATGATGGTTTAAGAAGAGGATCAGTTGAGTGCCTGAATTAAAACACTTTTATATTGGTGATATTCCAAAAAAAAGATCCAGACTTTCATATCTTTTATTATTGAATCGCAGTTGCTAGGAGACAATTTGTTCCAAATGACCTCTCGTCTATACCTTTTCAAAGAATAGGTCGAATATCCTGTTATCTTGTATACTGTATCTTAGATGTTATACAACTTGGTGCAATTTTGCTTCTAAAACAAAATATAAATAGGATAAAGGGTGAAATAAATGAAAAAGTTGAATCAATTAAATATTTGGTTATATATTGATAATAAACTAAAGTTTATATAGTATAAATACATTATTTCAAATTTCCAAAAGACAAATTACTTTTCTAGGGCTTCTCATAGTTTTAGTACACATTCCAAAAAAATAGTTTATAATACAATTTTTGCATTTACTGTATTGTTCAACTATCTTGTTCACTGCCAATAAAGCTGTATTCTCAGAATTAAAAAGCTATGAGAATAATATTGCATAAAAACAAGTACACCAAAATAAAACCTATGTTACAAGAATTGCAGTGGTTGAATATAAAAATGTCACATATTTAATTCTTATTTTTATATTTCAAATAACAAATCATCTTTTCCACAAAAGAACATTACATAGAACTGAACAATCATTACCACAATTATTATATAATTTACAAAATTGCAATAGTGGTATAACAAGCAAATCAATATTTCAGAAAAGATTACTTGAATTTAATAAACTAAATAATCATATAGATACTTGTAATCTAAAGATGTTTAAAAGAAAATTGAAGGAACATTTCATGGATAGTGAAAATTCTTATATATACTAAGTGACATATAAATCCGAACACCCAGTTTAAATGGTTTTATTTTAATAAAATTTTGTATAAGTACTTAATGAAGCATAATAAGTAAATGATAAAAATTTCAAAATGATTGCACTGCTTTAAAGCCCTTTGACCTTTAATAATGTGTGGATGCACCCTACGCATTCTCCAACGCGCCTAGGCATGCTTCTGATGTCCTCCTGTGGTATCTCATTCCAGGCAACCACCAACTCCTCTCGAAGTGCTTCTAGAGTCTGAGGAGGACGTTGCAAATTGAGCAATCTCCTACCCATCATATCCCACACGTGCTAAATTGGGGATACGTCGGGAGATCTTGGTGGCCATGGTAACAATGTGACATCATTATCTTGTTGGAAAGATGGATCTGCCAGGGTGTCAAGATAGGGTAAAAGATGGGGTTCTAGAACTTCGTGGATATAACGCTGCGCATTCACGTTACCTCTGATGAAGATTAAAGGTGACCTGGAACCATAAGCTATAGCACCCCAAACCATAACTCCAACAGTGTGATGAACATGTCTTTCAACAAAAAACTGTGGATTCCTCCTTTCACCACGTCGCCTTCTAACCCTGGCACGACCATCGTGCATGCCTAAACAAAATCGAGACTCGTCACTAAAGACAATACTGTTCCATTCCTGATCCCAGAGTGACCGTTGTCTGCACCACTCAAGGCGATTACGTAGGTGTTCTCGAGTTAAAGGGAGGGCCCAGTGTGGCCGGTATGAAAACAAGCCAAAACTTCTCATTCGTCGGTAAACACTTCGCATGCCAATAGGTCTTCCGTGTTCTGCAAACCATTCATTTGTAATGGACCTGGTAGTGAAGAAACGGTCCCTTAAGGCCAATAATCTTAGGCGGCGATCTTCACGGTCTGTTGTTCTACGGCGGCGTCCAGTGCCCCTTGCTCTTTGCGTATGGCCTTCTCGAAGCCATGCCTGACAACACCTAACCACAGTGTCTACACTTCTTTGCACTCTAACTGCAATTGCCCGAAAAGAAAGTCCAGCTTCTCGAAGTCCCACTATACGGCCCCTATCAAACTCACTAAGTTGACGAAATCGTACAGGTCTCCGTACTCTAGGCATCGTAACCGATCGTAAAGGATGTCAAGAACTAAAATCCGCCAACGTTGATTCTTTACTGCGGCTGAAATATTCATTTTTAGAGCGTTAGTGAATTAAAAAAAAGCAGTATAAAAACCGGAATGTCCAACTGATAAGGCTGAAAATTTGTTCACTTGTTATTTACAGTAAGATAAATACATTCACCAACTTTTATTAAAATAAAACCATTTAAACTGGGTGTTCGGATTTATATGTCACTTAGTATATATATATATATATATATATATATATATATATATTTGTATGTTATGTAATTGTTGTAGTTTTTAAAAGAATTGAATTGTAACAATCACGCTAAATAAATCTTAAGCAAACAAACAAAATATACTTAATTACATCTTAAGACTAACAAACTGTAATTCAGGTCTGATTACAAAATTCCTATATACCTTTATGTTAGTGCATGGTTGAATAATGTCTCAAAAAGATTTTTGGATGAAGTAAATTTAGTTTGTTTGATGTGTTCTAAGTTTCATATAAATGTCATCTGACACAAAACTCATCATACTGGTGCATAATCTCAGAGCCACAGTATGGAATACCTGAAAGTTTATTCTGCTTCGTTTTGATCATTAAAATTAATTCCCATGTCTCCTAGGTATGACATCAACTACGTAGTCGTGCCATAAGTTCTGTCCCATGATAATCACATGATAAAAATGAAACAAGATAAGATATATTTATATGAAAGATATTATTTATTCGACAACATTTTTAGAATTCATAATCAAACAGTTTTATTCAAAATGTCCCCCCTTGGCCTTCACACACTGCTTCAATCTCGCGGGCCACTCATCTATCACTGCACGCACAGCTTCCAAAGGAATAGCTGCCGCTGATCGGATCAAATCCGCTTTCAGGGACTCGATATTACGGTGGGCTTTGGAGCAGGCCAACTGCTCTAGCAGGTCCCACAACTTGTAGTCTAAAGGATTGAGGTCCGGACTCCCTGAGGGCCAATCTTCCGCAGCAATGAACTCTGGCACATTGCTTTCCAGCCAGCGCTGCGTACTCTTAGCCTTGTGAGCGGGGGCGGAATCCTGCTGGTAGACCCAGTGTTGGTTGGCAAACAATGTACCACTTAAAGGCTTGACGATAGGATCCAGTATGTCGCTCTGATAGTTTGCCGCTTTTGTTTTCACGCCCTGTTTACAGAAATGGAGCTGAGTGACCCCTTCGTAGGACACCCCCCACCAAACCATGACTGACGCAGGGTGGTGGCCTCTCTCAACTCTCGGAATGATCTCCGAAGCTTCCTGTGAACTCCTTGCATACACTTTGTCATTTTGTCGGTTGAATTTTTCTTCTATGGTGAAGATTTTCTCATCCGTGAACAAAATCTTTCGGAATCCCCCAGCTGCGTACCTCTCCAAGAGCTTCTTGGATCGTGTCGCCCTGATGTGTCGCAAGGTGGCCGTAAGTCGCTGGCCCGTACGTCTCCGGTAAGCCCCTAGCCCTAGGTCTTGTTTAATGATGCGCGACATCGTCCGGACAGGAATCTTCATTTCCCTGGATAGGATCTTCTGCTTCCGGAGTGGATTCCTTTGAATCCTGGCTTTTACGGCTTTGATGGCTGCTGGAGTCCTTACTTGACGAGGTCTTCCGCTTCTTGGCCTGTCATCAACAGAGGACGTCTCATTGTACCGCTGAATGGTCCTAGACACAAATTTACGCGATATTTGAAGGCCGCGTAAGAGTTCAAAAATCTGACTAGCACTGTGATTACACTTATGTAAAGCTATCACTGCAATACGGTTCTCTGCCTTGCCCCACTCCATCGTTATGCTTCGAGAGATCAATACAAACTGAGGTATATGTAATTACCCGAAAAGCGCTTAATCAACTGACACCACAATGTAAACAATCGGACAAGTATTAACAGGTCTACACTTGTTTGAAAACGAGGGACAGAACTTATGGCATGACTATGTATATCACAATATCAACTCCACTCCAACAATTTAAATTATATAGCCATTTATCAAATAATTGTTCACTCTGCTCTCTATACTGTAGTATAGTAAAAAATGCAACTAAGATCAATATGATTCAGAGCTTTTCCATAAAATTACCTACTTTATTCCTTTCTTGTGACATTTATGCACTGGCTGTTAATAAGCAATGTTTCAATGTCAATGCTTTATGCGATTTGTCACAATTCTAGTATCGTCATATTGAACTGTTAAACCAAATAATAATCATTAGTACATTTTGTAGATAGTAATGACTAATATTGTAATAAGTAGGCCATCAACATCGACCCAGCACACTGCATCAGCATCTGGGCCTTCTCAAAGTATTCAACAACAATCTACGAGTACAGGTGTGTCTTCTAGTACTGTCACTAATCCACCCAGTTTGCTTCAAGCTAGCAGAAATTTACAACATACCCTTAGGAGGCTAAGTGCCGATGTATTCTCGGGAAGAGAGCGAGGTAAGCATAAACGTATTTTATATCAAATTGTTGTTTATTTTTACACGGGCAATATGTATTTTTGGAATAAGGGTGAAGGTGTAGAGTTTAGGAATAAACTCGTATTTATGTTTGTATGTTTTTTGTCAACTAGCGGGTCGACCTCGACTCGTGAAGTAAATGGTGTTTGGTTCGCAGCCCCAGTTATCACAGTTAGCATATCGACGCAGAAAAAGAACACAAAGGAAAATTTATTCGTCAGCCTTACTAAAAAGTGGGCCAGAGAGTTCTTCTCTCGATGGGATGTACCGTTAACGGTGAATTAATAGACTTTCTTTGGCTAAATTAGCAACAATTTTTAGTTTAGTTCCCTCATCTACGTCGTTGTCAAACAAAGACAAGACTGAGACCTCATCTGTCAAATACCATAAATGTTATCAGAACTTTTGTAAAGCTGCTTTTGAAATGGTTTGTCAACTCTTTCGTAAGCCTTCATTGCCTTGAAAAAGCATAAATCCTGGTCAGGTGCTTTTACCGCTAAAGTGCATTGCAATCCCTGTTTCACGTATGTTGTCACAATGAACATACAAACATGTATATCTAACAGAGCTTCCTTATCCTTATTAGAAAATTCGGGTTGGGAACTTAGTAACGCTATTTTTAATGAACCGGTTTCTCTGGCCATCCATCGAGCTTGATGCATGACGCCTGGTGGGTCGACTCTTGAATTTTTTCTCTGTATTTCCGCTAAGGAATATTATTTGAAAGTTCTATTAATTCTCCATAGTCGTCTCTAGCAACTTCGTTGGTCAATTCATGCAGCTTGTCAGTCTCTGAAATATTCAGGCATTATAGCTTTTTAGTATTTTTATTTTGTTTTATTTATTTATTTAATAACCATAACATCCAACAAAGACCATATAAAAAAATTATAAATACACATAAATATATAACACAACGATATAATTCATCTTCATCAAGGACCTCCTGATGACAGAAAGATGCACCTAGATGGTTCAAACCACCTGTATGTGCTTTCATCATCCGGACTTACAAATGAAAAGAAAATGCTATTTATTGGATTATAAAATACAATTAAAAAAAACAATAATCAACCTCAATAACCCGAACAATAATTCAATCATACTATGATACAAAAAATCATTAGAAAAACCTTTCAAATTGTGCAGTATTCTCAAAAATATATTCTCTGCAGCTGGTGCTAAATGTTTTAATATTTTTCAACTTTTTCAAGTGTTCTGGCAGAATGTTATATATCTTTGGTCCTATATACGTTATGTATCGTAAGTTTAGGTTATTGTTATTCTTGGGAATTTCTATTTGCCTGCCCACATTTGCACGAGTACAGTAGTTATGACTTACTTGTTTCTGTAGTTTTTCATTTCTATAAATAAAAGTAGATACTGTCATCACGTACAAGGATCTAATATTACACACATCTTTTGTAAAAAGTTTATTAGTGGGGAATCTTTTATCTTAAAAATAATTTTAATAACATATTTCTGAATAATAATGAGTTTATGTAGAGCATTATTATACAATCCCCCCTCCATACTAATATCCCATATTTAATTATAGATTCAACAATTTATAAACTGTTATTAAATTTTTTTATCGAGAAAGTCACGCAGTAGATAAAATTTATGGATTAATTTTCTAACTCTACTCGATACATAATCAACATGCGGCTGCCACTTTAAATGTTGGTCAATAATGATTCCAAGGTATTTAGTTTGAGACACTTCCTGAACAGAATAATTATCATCCAACATAATAGTGCTGTAATTTGGTCTGTTTTTATTGGTCAACGAAAACGCAATATATACTAAGTGACATATAAATCCCAACACCCAGTTTAAATGGTTTTATTTTAATAAAATTTTGTATAAGTACTTAATGAAGCATAATAAGTAAATGATAAAAATTTCAAAATGATTGCACTGCTTTAAAGCCCTTTGACCTTTAATATTGTGTGGATGCACCCTGATGTGCTACGCATTCTCCAACGCGCCTAGGCATGCTTCTGATCAGGTGGTCAATGTCCTCCTGTGGTATCTCATTCCAGGCAACCACCAACTCCTCTCGAAGTGCTTCTAGAGTCTGAGGAGGACGTTGCAAATTGAGCAATCTCCTACCCATCATATCCCACACGTGCTCAATTGGGGATAAGTCGGGAGATCTTGGTGGCCATGGTAACAATGTGACATCATTATGTTGAAAGAAGTCTATTGTGACTCTTGCAACATGTGGTCGGGCATTATCTTGTTGGAAAGTTGGATCTGCCAGGGTGTCATTTTCATGAAATTTTTCAATTAAGAGCAGCACAGCTTCGTCGTCCCGTAATGGGAATGATTTTTCAAAATTCGATTATACAGTTTTATATTGCCTCTCGATATTCCCTTTTTTAGCAACAGATGTATTACATAACAAACATACATTTTTACCTTTAACTTCTCTAAAGAAATATTGTTCTTCCCATTCCAAATGGAAATGGTATGTCTTCATCTTACTACTGCTCATAATGTTTTTAATTGCAGGCCAACTCTAACCCAACCGCTGGACTTTGTGCCGTTCAATTTTAAACTGAGCGCATTGTCGCCGCGTATTTATTCCGTTCATAGTAATCGAGATCGTTCCCGAACAGATCGCTCACCGCAGTGTTGCCGCTGCTTGTGTTTATTATGAGCATTTACAAAATTCACGGAAGCGTCTATGATTTTTACATCTTTTTAAAATATGTTGTGAGCCACCATAACTTTGCGAGCTACGGTTTGAAAAAATATAGTAAAATGTTTTTGCTTTAATAGGACAAATGTTAACTTAAAAAAAAAGTGTCAACTAGCCTATTATTTTCAGGTCGTAGGGAAAGCGTATACTCAGGAACATTTAGTGGTGCTCTGAACCCAGCCTTGCAAGATCCTAAAGGTCGACCTAGGAGAGATGTCGCAACCATAGTCCACATCTTAAATGACCTCTTGTGTTCAGTGCCAGAATTGAGGAGGGTAGCTACCACTAGGCGGTCCGCGACATCAACTGTCGATGAAAGCGGCGCACATAGTTTAAGGGACGAACAAAAAGTAGGAGAGGAGATGGAGTCCGATATTGTAACTAATGCTTCAACGTCTACTGCCACCCCAGTTGGAGGAACCGATAGCTGTGAAGATCAAAACTCGAGGACGAGAGGAAAGGTATGGCTCGTGTATCATTGTTGCAACAAAATAATTTCGTCTACATGACCCCACGCGATTTTATAAAGTGTATTACTCTCTCGAGAGAGAAATTGGAAGGCTGACAATGCTTTTGGTATGAGATATACAACAAAACGCAATAACATTTGCTACGTCTTTTATTCTGTTTTATGTAATTAGCGCAGCAGTTGGAGATGCATTTTGTATAAACAGGAGACAGAACAAAAGCCTAGCAGCAGATAATTAGAACAAACAACATACGGGGTGGCCCAGCGAAAAGGTCGCACCCTTTTTTATGACCCTCATTGTATATTTCTAGGGCGTCGCCTTTTCATCTATAAATAATACAGAATCATGGTTGTTATCTTTTAATCAAAATGTTTAATAAGAGTCTTGTGAACATTGCTTAAAACAATGAAGGTGTTTTAAACCAATTTGTTTTAAACTGTTTAAAACATGTATTAAACACTGTTTTCACGTATGTGGGTTATTCATTTTAGTTATATTTTTTTAAGTACGATTAAAATTGATTTTATTTTGCAATTCGAAACTTAAAGGTCCATAGGTTAAAACACATAGGTACTATTTTTTATTACTTAATCAAACATGAAACTAGGGAATTAATACTAGTGGAAAAAAATATGTTTCTTAACGAACCAGTGAACCTAATAAACTGAATTGAACTCTAATACTAGTACACTACAAGCAGCAGAATAATCATATAATATGACTATGTATTTACTTACTTGTATAATAACATTAAATAAGTTACTTAACAAATTTCTCTTGAAATCTACACCTAATTGACAACCGATATATCATTTTTTTCAATTTTCTCAGGTGTTTATGATTGTTTTGAATTTGGTTCTATCATATACAAGGTGGGTTTATGATACTTGCTTCCGATTGGCCAATTTTTGATCCTGTTTACTAAAACTGTCTAATTGGTCATAGGTTTTGATCTCAGGATCAAGTGAAGAAATATGTTTTTATAACTAAAGCAGGTGATTTATAGAATTTCTCTATTTAACATAGGGATTAGAGGCCCTTTTTACACAACTCGTATATTTTTTCTCTAGTTCGACAGATGTTTTAGAAGAAATCTACTATAATCATTTGATCCATTACTACAAAGACGCCTTCCCATTAGTCCATTTTGATCCCGCGGAACAATAGTAAAATCTGGCATTACAATTTTGAATGTTTAAAATCTTCTTTCACATTTTTTGTAAAACGGATGAAGGCGTAAAATAAACTCCGAAACTCTGGCAATTTGTTTAGTTAGTCATTTTTTAACACCTATTGATTAATCCCAAGAAACCGAATAAATTGAGCATTCAGTTTTCATACATTTACGATGTCAGTTAAATGTTAAATTTCGTGTATACAGTAATGGACAAAAGTATATAGACTAATATGAATATTTACCTAAATACCTTTAGAAAACGAATTCATACTTCATTGCTCCATAAACAAATGCGTTATTAATAGAAAAACTAAATTCCTTGTTTTTACATTATCTGCAATAAACACAATACAAGTCTGAATATAAGCACTTTTTTATGAGGGACAAAAATATGTAGACAAATTCTTTTCAACATTAGTTTAGTACAGCTTCGTGTCAGAAGAGGATTAGTTTGTGTTCATCAAGTATTGTGGAATAAGTTGAGTGATTTTAAGACCATGCCTCGTGGTCCAGAAATTTCACCACGACCTCAACGGAAACAGAAAAGCGAATCACGCAGAACACGTAACGTTCTAGAAGAAGGTATCTTGAGTGGCCTTGAAAACGATATGTTTTATAGGAAACCAACTAACGGAGAAAAACTACAGAGTTTTTTTGCTGATCGTCAACACCATACTGAATCGCTGAGAAAGAAAGATATAATACGAGTGAAATTATGCAATCAATAAACTATCAAATTTGCCAAAAGAAAATCATTGAAAAGGGTTTGGCCTAGGAACGGGCACTCTATTATCAATGAAGAGCAATTCAAATTACGGATAAGTTATAAACAGTAAAAAAAGTGATTACGTGATTATGGCACGTGACAGAACATACAGGGTGGCGCATCGAAAACGAAACAGATGCATTTACTGGCAGCTCAGTTTTTTTTTTGGAAAAACGCTCAGACCCGTCAATCTTCTTTTCGAGGGGGACACAAGTTTGGCAAAAAATCACGTTAACACGTGCACCCCCTGGGCGGGGGTGACACCAACCCTAAAATCTTAAATGGAAAGGGGGGTCGAGTGATACCTTATTTTAAAGGTATTTCAATTCCCTATATAATGATGTAAAATACATGAGCTTCAGTTCGGTAGTTTTAAAGATTTATTGATTTAAAGCTTAAAGTAGACTTTAATAGGTACATCAGATTAGTTTGTACTACTTTCAGCAGAAATTAGACTAAAAGAATTTACTTAATAAGTAAATGCTTTTCTTCACTACGCCCATGGTTTGTTTATCATTTTGTTGTTGAAAATAGCTATTGGAGCGTTTTTTTGTGGCAAAAAAGTTATTTCTTGAAGAAAGATAAGGAAATATCTCGTACTTATTTTAAATAGGAATTTAGTACATAGTTTGCGATTGATTTGTCCAAACTTTGTTGGTAAAATAACTTGTAACGCTTTATTACATAAATTAACCATGGTATATTCCACAGCAGAAAGAGTTGAAATTATCGAAATATTTTTCGGAAATAATCAGTGCGTTAATAGAACGGCAAGAAATATTCAATGAGCGACATGAGAACAGTAACGTGCATCGAAAATATGTTCTAGAACTTGTAGCTAAATTTCGGGAATCTGTGTCAGTCGAGAATAAAAAACGCAACATTGAAAATCCCATAAGGAACGAAGTAATAGGAGTGGGGGTTTTAGGGCAAGTTTATGTAGATCCTACGTTAAGTACCTGCAAATTGAAGACTATGTGTGGTGTTAGTCGACGTACTGTCCAACGGATTCTAAAGGCCCGTAGTTTTCATCAGTATAAAATTCACGTACAAGAACTTAATGAAGACGATTTTGATCGGCGATTACAATTTTGCGAAGATATGAGTGAACGAATTATAAACGATGAACATTTTCTATTCAACACTTGCTTTTCCGACGAATGTTCCTTTTTCTTAAATGGCGTAGTAAATCGTCATAACTGCCGATATTGGTCCGATTCTAATCCCAGAATTTATCATGAGGTTCATACACAGCAGCCATAAAAATTAAATGTTTGGGCTGATATTTTTGACGATCATTTAGTTGGTCCTTTTTTCTTACCTGGAAATTTGACCGGTGAAATGTATTTGGAATTACTGGAAGACGCCGTAGATCCTGCATTAACAGCCATAATTGAAAATCAGAATGATCGGCGGTACATTGCGAATAGGTTGATGTTCCAACAGGATGGTGCCCCACCACATTACGCATTACGTGTTCGACAATATTTAGATCAGACGTTTCCAGACCGATGGCTTGGTAGAAGAGGTGCCATTGAATGGCCCTCAAGATCGCCAGATTGATCACCTTTGGATTTCTCTATGTGGGGTCATTTAAAAAAGCCAACATCACTAGAAGACCTGCGACAAAGAATTGTGAATGAGTGCCTTCAAATTACTCCTCAAATATTGCAAAATGTGCGGCAACGTTTTGAGCAAAATCTTTATTATTGCTTGGAGAGTGGCCATTTTCAACATTTACTTGCCTAACGGGTCAGTTCATTCTATATTGTTAAATCACTTTTCTGCCAAATGTATTGATCCACTAATGATGATGTATTAGTTTTATTTAAGCTTTAAATCAATAAATCTTCAAAACTACTGAACTGAGTACATTAATTTTAGATCATTATAAAGGAAATTGAACGACCTTTAAAATAAGGTATCACTCGACCCCCCTTTCCATTTAAGATTTTGGGGGTGGTGTCACCCCCGCTTAGGGGGCTGCACGAGCTATCGTGATTTTTTGCCAAACTTGTGTCCCCCTCGAAAACAAAATCGACTGGTCTGAGTGTTTTTCCAAAAAAAAAAACTGAGCTGCCAGTAAATGCGTCTGTTTCGTTCTCGATGCGCCACCGTGTATATGCCAAAAATCATTAAAATCGGATAAATATACGTAGGTGTTTACCTTTAATGTTCACTCAGTATACTTTTGACAGGATAGTTAAATCAAGGGTTCAATTCTTTAACCAATGCTAGCTGTAAGTAATCGATCCTGATACTTTTATTTGATAGTGACTTTTTGTTGCAGCTTGAGCATCTGAGACTGGTGATGGGCGAACGTCGTGAGCGGCGTAGACAGCGCAAACAAAAACCATATTCACTACCTCAGAACAGTGACACTGCAGACACAGTGATCGCGTGAGACGATCCGTTCCCTCCTTTGTACATAGGTATTAGCTATTAATTATCTCGATAGTGTTGGTACACGCACAGTTTCATTTCGTTCGGAAAAAGACAGAGCTAGGAATAAAGGAAAATTATGGACCGTTCGTTCATTGAGTTTACAAATTGTATAGTTTTTACAAACCTACTTCACTTTTATATGAACCGATTTCCGATAAATCTCCACAGGATGTTGCCATCGCACATCATATCATCATAGTCATGTTTAATGCGTCGCTTCCTAAATGTTCTGGGTGATTAAAAGATATTGGCCGAAGGTATGCCCTAAAATAAATTGAACAGTCTTGATAGTTGGGACTTTCCTTTTCAGAAACAACTATGCTAATGTGTGGTAAAAAGATAAATGAAAAACAAGAGGAAAGCTTAGCTCTGTCACTTGTAAGTATAGCAGACGCTCGATAATGTAAACTAATTTAATCCAAGTGTGGTTCACATTATCGAAATGTTTACATTAGCGTGATTTATATAATATTTGATTTATTAAAAGAAACGTTTAATACATACTATTTATAACAAAATAAACAAATATTCTAACAGCGATAAGTATTTTTTTAATTAGAAGAAAAATAATTAACTATTTTTGTCTGCGTAAATTTGCGCTTAGCATTGTCTTCCAATGCCTGCGCCCGTAATTTACGAAGAACTAAAATATCCGTGTATTAAACTTCTTTTCTTTCAGCCCAATCTAAAGCTTGGTTAAAAACTTGTATAGCTTGCGCGTCAGTCACTACACTTCTGACTTCAATGGGATCGTTCTCATCATCCTCACTGTCCATATCCTCCTCCTTATCAGCATCATTCGTCTGTTTATCTTCGTCCCATAAATTAATATCAACAGGAGTACAAACAATGTTGGTATTCACTGTTTTCAATAAATCAACAACATCCAATGACACACTAATAACATTATCATTATTGGATCGCAAACGTTCTCTAATTACGCTTAAGGGGACATCGTCTTCATCATCTTCATTATTGGTACAAAAGAGATTGTTCCAACATTTTTGAATAGTTTGCTGGTTAAGTTCATTCCAGGTCATATGTAAATCTAAAACAGCTTCTCGTAATGTTACTTTTTTTAAAGCCTCAGATAAGTTTTTAGGATTCTTTGATAAGACAGACGAAAGTAAAAACTTCCTATAGTATAGTTTGGTGAGTCTTATTATATTCTGGTCCATCGGTTGAATTAACGATGTTACGTTGGGCGGCATGTACATGACGAAAATTGACCCATCCCTGCTCCTCAGTTGTTGCTCGGGAGGATGACTTGGTGCATTATCCAATAGTAACAACGCTTTTATTGGAAGCTTCTGTTGTTTTAGGAAACCTTTTACCTACAAATTGAAATCACATCTTCAAATTATGAATAGAGCATTTTTTGTGATAATTGATTGTCATACCTGAGGGACAAAGCACCTGTGGAACCATTTCAGGAATATACTGCTAGTCATCCAAGCGGTTTTTGAACAGGGATATTAACATTTTTAAATGGGCGTGGATTTTTTGCTTTCCCAATTACCAGTGGCTTTATTTTGTGTGAACCATTAGCATTAGTGCAGGCTAGAAACGTTATTCGTTGTTTCTCCGGCTTTCTTTCCGGGGCAGATTTTTCAAATGATGCAGCATAGGTTTTCTCTGGTAAAATTTTCCAATAAAGGCCACTTTCATCTGCGTTGTAAATTTGTTCCATTCTTAAATCTAGCTCGGTAATTGTTTTCATCAATTTTTCTTTGAATGGTTGCACTAATTGTGGTTGTGCTGATAATTTTTCACCAGATATAGACAGCAGTCGAATTCCATATCTTGTTTTGAATCGTTGTAGCCAGCCATCACTAGCTACGAAATTTTCAGTTTCTTTCAGTTTTTCATTTAACAGTCTCGCTCTCTGTTTAAGTACTTCGCAACTCACTGGGACATGATTTTCCCGTTGTTTTAAAAACCACTTATACAGGGAATTTTCCATTTTAGGTGCCTTCGCATTTTTTAAAGTTTTTCTTTTTCCCGGACCTCCAAATGTATTGCACGTTCTTTGTAAAATTTGAGTTTTCATACGCTTAATTTTACAGATTGTTGCTTTCGATACTCCATATTTTTTGGTAGCTGTGTCACTCCCGCACCTAGTGCAACTTCGTTTATGATTTTCACTTTCTCACTCAACTTTAAACACTTTCTTTTATAGGATGTGGATGCCATAGTCGTAAAATATATTAACGCGTGCAATGTATTCACTTAACTTCAAAAATGAAATACATACGTACGTATAAACGTATCCTAAACGAGCATACGACTGACCGAGTTTGTCGTATTTTATCGCAGAGGTGAATCCCCTACACTCTACATCATAAATCGGGGACTCCCCAACGCCCGACATAAATCATCGAGGCTTCAGCATTTTACCGTCGCGCTGTTTCCGTGCGCCGAGAGTTGTTTACGTTATCGAGCGTACACATTGTTTACGTTATCGCGCGTTCCGTTTGATCCTATAGAACGAAGTTTGTGTTTACATTAGCACAAGTTTTCATTATCCCGTGTTTACGTTATCGAGCGTCTGCTGTATTGTTCAAAGGTGTCTGCGATAGATTCAAAGTTGCATGCACATTAGCGGACAAAAGTTTGGAAACATTCTTAGTATTTTTTTATTCCTTATTATTAAGGACTATTTTTTTCTCATATAGTTTGCTTACAGTCTTGAGGATACAAATGACAATTTGTGTTTGCTGTGGTACTACAGACTAGCATTAAACCTTCATATTATTTTATGACCAAAAATGAGACGACAAAAGTATGGAAACGTATTTTTTATTACAAAATTTAATACAATAACTCTACAAAATAATTTAAAAATTACTGTTTAGCTAATATTTGATAGCATAGCCTTTAGCATTCAACACTGCCTGACATCCGCTGCTCATAGAAGGCACCGATTTTTTACAGACGACAGTTGGGATATTTTGACAAATATTTTTTACATAATCGAATAAATCGTTCCTATTTTTAAAAGTTTTTCTTGTCAGTTGTCTTTTAAGAAGCTCCCAGGTTTAGGTCCGGGGATTGCGATTGCGAAGGCCATCTAAGAACATTAACATTTTTTAGTGTTAACCAGTCCTTTACGAATTTTGAGGTATGCTTGGGGTCATTATCTTGCTGAAATGTCCATCGTAAAGGCATTTCTTCTTCAGCAAAAGGGAGCATGTGTTTACTAAGAATATATTTGTAAAGTTTTTGATCCAATTTCCCAACAATTCTAACAATTGGACCCGTTCCAGAACTATAAAAACAGCCCCAAACCGTTATGTTGCCCCCACCGTGCTCAACTGTTGGCAACTGATACTTTTTGTGAAACCTTTTTCGTATTGGACGTCTCACATACGCCGTACCATCAGATCCAAAAAAGTTAAATTTGCTTTCATCGCTCCATGAAACTGTATTCCATTGTTTTTCTGTCCAAGTTGCACTGGACGCTTACCATAACATTTTCCGCACGCAATATCGGAGTATCGCAGAACGAATAAATATAGCAAAATTGAAATGTTTCCATACTTTTGTAGTTACAAAAACTGTGGTATTTAAAAAACGCGTGTTTTTAATTTCCGAGAATTTGAATATTGATAAGATAAGCCTTGTATTAGTACGGGAGCCAAATGTAGACTTTAATATTCATATTATCTGTTCCTTCACAATTTTAATTTAGGTATATGAAATAGTTCATAATAATGTTAATATTTTTGTTTCCAAACTTTTGTCCGCTACTGTATGTACTCGACGTATGCAGCCGATTGTTAAATTCGTACACGTAATTCGTCAACCGTGTTCACCTAAGTTTTATACACTAAACATTTAATTTCAACCCAAACAAAAAAATAAGTCGCCAAGGATATTTAAAAACGATCTGCATGCACACGCGAAGCCTCGGTAGCATTTCGAAGACCCTCGCCTTAAATTAGAATAATATGAGCAACGCCGATATCGTTGAATGAGTGTGCCACTTTTGTAGAACCGATGTGTAAAGGTTTTTTTACCAACGCGACCAGCGTCTCGATTGAGTACTGATGCGCATCGTATGTGTTCATGTTTGATCTGAGCGAGGTGCGGGACCGGATTAGGTATTGCTTAGAATTGATTTATTTTGCGGAGCGTAACATCTTGCAAATCTTAAGACTTTGGTGTATGTAGAAAAACTGCTCATTTTTCCAAGTTCTATGTGCCGTACGAAAGTCTCAACTTTAAGAAGACCCTGTATAAATATGAGTCCTAGAATGGTCCTTAGCAATATAGAGGCTATTGAAGTTTCAGCCAAAATTGAAAAAAAAAACGAGGTGGATAACGGTATGAACTTGCTGCTTACACGCAGTACCAACAGCACCGCAGTGGCGGAGAAACATGGACAGTTTGAAAAATACATAACGGAATTAAAAAATATTTTCCATGACACTGACTTTTCTGAAAAATCTATGAGATTTTTAGATAAAATATTTAATTTTACATTATCGTCTCTTGAGAAATTTTGGTGAGGCTTTTTGGAGAAGAATTGGTTTAATTATTTAGGGTATAATTCATATTAAAACCTTGAATCCATTCTACTTTGCATCCTTTGCTGAAGTTGGGGATGTTTAACATTGAATTGTATGTGATTCTATTCCACCATAGCATTATTTGATAAACATGTTTTTGCCTTACCAATATCATCAGTGGCAGTGGCGTAGACATTTTCAACAGCCTCTATCTTCGTAATGGGACTTTTTAGGACAAATTCAGACAAAGCAATGCCGGAAATCCGCTCCTGACCAGTCTTTTTTTACATAGGTCGGACAGTCTCATCGACTGAAAAGTATTTTTGATTCATTTTTTAAACTTTGCACCAAGAACTAGCAATATTCTTGGCCCATAACGTGGCTCTACGCGGCGATTTAATTTCGAGTGGAGCGGGTGTCACACAGTCAGTATTTACTGTGATCCATCATTTTTTATCATGTAATTTGATATTTGTTGACTGCGAAGGTTACATGGAAATCCACTGACATGGAATGATCGGTAAATACTAATGGTACGGACCAAAGCAAATATTGATCGTGTGACGTTCGCATTTAAGCTTTTTGTGGCAATTGTTTAGTTGGTGGATGAACGGTCCTTAATTTATGAATGCATCTCGGTTCATGGTAAAACCAATTGTACATGTTGCATGTTATTTGGGGCTCAAGTCATGTCCTTAATATTTTTAAGTAAAAGATATATATATATAGGTGAAAAATTAAAGCTTCCGCCTTTTGTTGGGTACTTCGACAAAATTTAAGCAACGAGTACTCTTTATACTTTTTTAATTCTCTCTAGCTTTCAATGGACTTTGCCATCATCATCAGGAGAGTAGTATGTGAGGAAGTTGCTAATTGTTGTTTACGTATAGGATGAGGGAAACGTCCAGTAACATGGTGAGAGCTGGATAGATGATACAATGGTCAAAATTATATAAAATATGACAAGAACAAGTTAAAAACAGATTAAAAATTATTTACAAAACTTGATCATGATGGCAAAGTCCATTGAAAGCTAGAGAGAATTAAAAAAGTATAAAGAGTCCTCTTTGCTTAAATTTTGTCGAAGTACCCAACAAAAGGCGGAAGCTTTAATTTTTCACCTAACTGGTCTAGACGACAATGACCACGTCTCAAGTTATATATATATATATATATATATATATATTCAGAGCAAGCCTGCTAAACCCTTAATTTTTTGCTAATTTTTACTACCCTTTCAATGCGAGTAAAGAAATTTACGATTTGGCCTATTTGACAATTTTCAGTTCTATGGAAACTCCTTTAAAATGTGTTTCTTCAATAAATAGTTTTTTGTATCTGTACATAATCCAATCATTTATAATATAATTGCTCTTTTTAATATCGAATATTAACTATTTCATTATTATTTTTACAAGGTCTTTAGCAATGTAAACAGAACAAAGAAAAAAATGAACAAGCGTTTTCTGTTTCTTAAATCGATTTTATTTGATTCAAAATAGTCTCCTTCAGAGTTACTGCAGCGATTTGCACGGACCAAAAGATGTTGGAATGCCCTTGAAAATGGTCGTCGACGCCTTTTGGATGCATACCGCTGTTCCTTTATGGCCAAATGTAGTTTACCGAACAGAAAATAGTCACGCGGTGCCATATCAGGAGAATATGGGTACTGGTTGATGGTTAAGATTCCATTTTTACCAAAAAATTGGACACGCGACAGCAAACGCGTCATAACACCAAGATAAAACACAGCATTAACCGTTTGGCCCGGTGGAACGAATTCTTAATGAATAAT